ACCTACTCAGTCCTGTTTGAAGGGGACATCATGCTCACACCAGAAGAAGCAGAAAAATTTCTGACCCCAACAAGAAGCAGACATAAAAGAAAAATTACAGCAGAAGAAGACAAAAGATGGCCGCTTCCCATACCCTACAGATTTAACGACAATCCAAAATATTTTCTCAGTAAGTCTGGCCACGGTATTTGTCTTTTGTATGTGTCAAATTAAAAAAAAAACATACGGTATGAAAATGTTACAGTTAGATCGATTTCTGTCACATGTTGAAATTTTGAACCCTAAAGATTCAACGGAAAAAGCTGTGATTGAATCAGCCATCAAAGAGTTAAGTTCACTGACGTGTATCTCATTTCTAGAGGTCAACTCGTCCCATCCCAACAAACCGATTCTAGACTTCCGTAAGGATGCTGGGTAAGTAGGTCATCGTGTCACAAACAACAGGTCATCGTGTCACATACAACAGGTCATCGTGTCACATACAACAGGTCATCGTGTCACATACAACAGGTCATCGTGTCACATACAATAGGTAATCGTGTCATATACAACAGGTCATCGTCTCAACATGTCATCACCACATAGACTCCAAATTTTCTACCTGAATTTGCTTCCATAGACTGTGTCCAACCAAGAACAACAATCAGTACTGCAGCGAATGTTTATTTTCTTACCTGGATGGGTTGCTGTCCAAGCAACTTCACCTGCCCGGGTTCCAAACTCGGCACCCCAAAATATATGATACAACATACTTTATGATACAACATACTTTATGATACAACATACTTTATGATACAACATACTTTATGATACAACATACTTTATGGTAACATTTGATCGCCTAAAACTTTTCTTACTTCTAAAAACATGCTTTTGAAAAGACGTCTGTTTCGAGATTACTAAATCAAACTCTGGGAGATAAATTATAAAAATTCTCAAACATTTGGGTATGTCATTTCTATAAGGGAGGCAACTGAAAAGATATAACGCGAATATTACGGTCATAATTATTTCCCTTCCAAGGTGCTGGTCATACGTAGGGCGTGAAAAAACTTTCCAATTTCAAGAACTTTCAACTTCAAAAGGTTGTTTTGAGGTGAGTCTCACAAGAGCTTTCAACTTCAAAAGGTTGTTTTGAGGTGAGTCTCAAAAGAACTTTCAACTTCAAAAGGTTGTTTTGAGGTGAGTCTCACAAGAACTTTCAACTTCAAAAGGTTGTTTTGAGGTGAGTCTCACAAGAACTTTCAACTTCAAAAGGTTGTTTTGAGGTGAGTCTCACAAGAACTTTCAACTTCAAAAGGTTGTTTTGAGGTGAGTCTCACAAGAACTTTCAACTTCAAAAGGTTGTTTTGAGGTGAGTCTCACAAGAACTTTCAACTTCAAAAGGTTGTTTTGAGGTGAGTCTCACAAGAACTTTCAACTTGAAAAGGTTGTTTTGAGGTGAGTCTCACAAGAACTTTCAACTTCAAAAGGTTGTTTTGAGGTGAGTCTCACAAGAACTTTCAACTTCAAAAGGTTGTTTTGAGGTGAGTCTCACAAGAACTGTCAACTTCAAAAGGTTGTTTTGAGGTGAGTCTCAAAAGAACTTTCAACTTCAAAAGGTTGTTTTGAGGTGAGTCTCACAAGAACTTTCAACTTCAAAAGGTTGTTTTGAGGTGAGTCTCACAAGAACTTTCAACTTCAAAAGGTTGTTTTGAGGTGAGTCTCACAAGAACTTTCAACTTCAAAAGGTTGTTTTGAGGTGAGTCTCACAAGAACTTTCAACTTCAAAAGGTTGTTTTGAGGTGAGTCTCACAAGAACTTTCAACTTCAAAAGGTTGTTTTGAGGTGAGTCTCACAAGAACTTTCAACTTCAAAAGGTTGTTTTGAGGTGAGTCTCACAAGAACTTTCAACTTCAAAAGGTTGTTTTGAGGTGAGTCTCACAAGAACTTTCAACTTGAAAAGGTTGTTTTGAGGTGAGTCTCACAAGAACTTTCAACTTCAAAAGGTTGTTTTGAGGTGAGTCTCACAAGAACTTTCAACTTCAAAAGGTTGTTTTGAGGTGAGTCTCACAAGAACTGTCAACTTCAAAAGGTTGTTTTGAGGTGAGTCTCAAAAGAACTTTCAACTTCAAAAGGTTGTTTTGAGGTGAGTCTCACAAGAACTTTCAACTTCAAAAGGTTGTTTTGAGGTGAGTCTCACAAGAACTTTCAACTTCAAAAGGTTGTTTTGAGGTGAGTCTCACAAGAACTTTCAACTTCAAAAGGTTGTTTTGAGGTGAGTCTCACAAGAACTTTCAACTTCAAAAGGTTGTTTTGAGGTGAGTCTCACAAGAACTTTCAACTTCAAAAGGTTGTTTTGAGGTGAGTCTCACAAGAACTTTCAACTTCAAAAGGTTGTTTTGAGGTGAGTCTCACAAGAACTTTCAACTTCAAAAGGTTGTTTTGAGGTGAGTCTCACAAGAACTTTCAACTTCAAAAGGTTGTTTTGAGGTGAGTCTCACAAGAACTGTCAAATTCAAAATGTTGTTTTGAGGTGAGTCTCACGAGAACTTTCAATTTCAAAAGGTTTTTTTGAGGTGAGTCTCACAAGAACTGTCAACTTCAAAAGGTACTCAATAAGTGTTTTTTTCCTGCTTCAAAATATTTCCCTCCATAAAACGTTTACCTCTGACAGAAAGGTAAATTAAATGTTTCCCTCTGACAGAAAGGTAAATAAAATGTTTCTCTCTGACAGAAAGGTAAATAAAATGTTTCCCTCTGACAGAAAGGTAAATAAAATGTTTCCCTCTGACAGAAAGGTAAATAAAATGTTTCCCTCTGACAGAAAGGTACACTACTACACGAACTAGGACACGCCATCGGCTTTTGGCACGAACAGTCACGGCCAGACCGGGATGGTTACGTCATATATCTAGAAGAAAATGTCAAGCGTGGAGAAGAATTTAATTTTAAACGTGTGAGTTACCTCTCATTTAAACCGGATGGTTATCTATCTTTTAAACCGGAGAGTTATCTCGCTTCTAAACTACCTGATGTCTTCTCTTTACGGCGATGTGCGAATTGAACTGACTCAGTTTCATGAGCTATTTACATCTAAGTACACATAAAAAGACATTTAGCTTTATCGAAGTTTATTTCTCTTTTACTACCTCCTCCATCGCCCCACCATTCCTTAGTCCTGTTCTCAATCTGTTCCATAAATGAGCTCCGTATTTTACGCAGGTTTTTTTTTAAATTTATTCTTTCTTACACTTTGATCTCTTTGATCTCATATAACACTTGTTTGGTGTGTGTGTGTGTGTGTAAGATCTTTAGCTCCTCTTTAATGTATATGTAACATCAAACTTTATTATCTAAGTTATGAGAAACAATATCATTCATATCTAGCTACTGATTCATGTGTAAGATATGTCTAACCACTTATTCATATGTAAGATATGTCTAACCACTTATTCATGTATAAGATCGAACTGTCTAACCACTGATCCATGTGTAAGATCGAACTGTCTAACCACTGATTCATGTGTAAGATCGAACTGTCTAACCACTTATCCATGTGTAAGATCTGTCTAACCACTTATTCATGTGTAAGATCGAACTGTCTAACCACTGATTCATGTGTAAGATCGAACTGTCTAACCGCTGATTCATGTGTAAGATCTGCCTTACCTCTTCTATCAACAGGAGAACTGGGGTGATATTGATAACATCGGCGTCCCTTATGACGTAGCATCCATCATGCACTACGGATCCACTGTGAGCATCGTTAGCTTTTTAATAATACACACTGCCCAAAATTATATTTTGATGAGCACATTTTGAATCCATGCACCAAAATGTATTCGGTAAGCTACTCAACAAAAGACATAGGCCTACGCTTTACGTCCACAAACACCAACATTGAACTGTTTAACGTGTATTGAACTACTCACTACTTTCTTGGATACAAAACATACATTCCAAATGATATTCAAAGTATTAAACTAAAATAAAACAGCGTCTAATATGCCCTGAACCCTAACACACCCAGCGAATTTAGTTGCAGTTTGACTGAACCCCAACAAACCCAGAGACTTAACTGAACCCCAACAAACCCACAAAACTTTACTGAACCCAACAAACACAAAACTTAACTGAACCCCAACAAACACAAAACTTAACTGAACCCCTACAAACACACAAAACTTTACTGAACCCAACAAACCCAGAGACTTTAATGAGTTTGAGCCGCCAGACATGAATCAACATCAGATTTCAGCAGCTTGGCTTAAAGTTAATCCGGCCTAAGATTTTATTTCTGTCATCTAAACTACGTCGATATTTTCTATTTTATTTCTGTCAACTAAACTACGACGATATTTTCTATTTTATTTATGTCATCTAAACTACGTCGATATTTTCTATTTTATTTCTGTCAACTAAACTACGACGATATTTTCCATTTTATTTCTGTCATCTAAACTACGTCGATATTTTCCCTTTTATTTCTGCGAATTAAACTGCGTCGATATTTTCCATTTTATTTCTGTCAACTAAACTACGTCGATATTTTCTATTTTATTTCTGTCAACTAAACTACGACGATATTTTCTATTTTATTTATGTCATCTAAACTACGTCGATATTTTCCATTTTATTTCTGTCAACTAAACTACGACGATATTTTCTATTTTATTTATGTCATCTAAACTACGTCGATATTTTCCATTTTATTTCTGTCAACTAAACTACGACGATATTTTCTATTTTATTTATGTCATCTAAACTACGTCGATATTTTCCATTTTATTTCTGTCAACTAAACTATGACGATATTTTCTATTTTATTTATGTCATCTAAACTACGTCGATATTTTCCATTTTATTTCTGTCAACTAAACTATGCCGATATTTTCCAGTTTTTCTCCCAGAACGGTCAGGTGACCTTACAGACAAGAGATCCTCTACTACAGAGGAACTTGGGTCAAAGGGAGGCTATGTCATTCTTTGATGTCAAGTTAGCGAACCTGGCTTATTGTAAAGGTTAGGGAGATTTCTTGAAGATATCATATTTTTAAATAAAACAAAACATCTCTAAATAAAGTGCGGCTACATAATTTTAATATAAATTAATAAGTGCGTTACTATAGTACATTTACACATAAAAAAATATAAGTATCTATGACAATATCTTGGGATTAATGTCGGACTGCCAGAAAAAAATGTAACACATTACATGAATGTCCGACTGACGTAAAATATTTTGATACATTGTTTAGTTAGATGAATGTCCGCCTGACGTAAAATATTTTGACACATTGTTGAGATGAATGTCCGACTAACGTAAAAGTAAAATATTTTGACACGTTGGTTAGATGAATGTCCGACTAACGTAAAATATTTTGACACGTTGTTTAGATGAATGTCCGACTGACGTAAAATATTTTGACACGTTTTTCAGATGAATGTCCGACTCACGTAAAATAGTTTGACACGTTGTTTAGATGAATGTCCGACTGACGTAAAATATTTTGACACGTTGTTTAGATGAATGTCCGACTGACGTAAAATATTTCGACACTTTAGATGAATGTCCGACTGACGTAAAATATTTTGACACGTTGTTTAGATGAATGTCCGACTGACGTAAAATATTTCGGCACTTTAGATGAATGTCCGACTGACGTAAAATATTTTGACACGTTGTTTAGATGAATGTCCGACTGACGTAAAATATTTTGACACATTGTTGAGATGAATGTCCGACTGACGTAAAATAGTTTGACACGTTGTTGAGATGAATGTCCGACTGACGTAAAATAGTTTGACACGTTGTTTAGATGAATGTCCGACTAACGTAAAATATTTTGTCACATTGTTTAGATGAATGTCCGACTGACGTAAAATATTTTGACACATTGTTTAGATGAATGTCCGACTAACGTAAAATATTTTGACACATTGTTTAGATGAATGTCCGACTGACGTAAAATATTTTCACACATTGTTGAGATGAATGTCCGACTAACGTAAAATAGTTTGACATATTGTTTACATGAATGTCCGACTGACGTAAAATATTTTGACACGTTGTTTAGATGAATGTCCGACTGACGTAAAATAGTTTGACACATTGTTTAGATGAATGTCCGACTGACGTAAAATAGTTTGACATATTGTTTACATGAATGTCCGACTGACGTAAAATAGTTTGACACGTTGTTGAGATGAATGTCCGACTAACGTAAAATATTTTGACACGTTGTTGAGATGAATGTCCGACTGACGTAAAATAGTTTGACACGTTGTTTAGATGAATGTCCGACTAACGTAAAATAGTTTGACACATTGTTTAGATGAATGTCCGACGGCGACCTTCACCTGCCTCCACGACGGCTACCCTGACCCCAAAGACTGCAGCCGGTGTCGCTGTCCGGATGGTCTGAGCGGATCAGTGTGCCAATACGCCGCTCCTGCTGTTGGTGAGTACATCATTAATCTCATCATTAATGGCATCATTAATGTCATCATTAGTTAGCCAGTAGTTTCATGTTAGTATTTACATCCATAATAAGCTAGTTCATCCATGTTAGTATGTCCTTATTAATCAGCCAATGCATATATATCATCACTAATTAAGCACTGCATTCATGTAAATAGTTAGATCAACAACCAACACGTACATTGCTCAATCTACTAAAACCTCTATTTGTATGGCGGCTGCTAAAGTTTGTACCGTTTTGTTAACGTACGTAACGTGCACAGGTTCAAGCTGTGGCGGGCCTCTGTTTGTGGAGGACGGAGCCAAATACACCATCAAGTCTCCGGGCTTTCCGTGGGCTTACATGGACGGGATACAGTGTAACTGGCTGCTTCAGGTGGGCATCTACCAACTCACAACGTCAGCGTTTGTCTCAGGAATTAGTTGTGATTTTTTTTTTGTCTCTAAGACAGTGTGATTAAAGTTTTAGCACGCGTGGTACGCAAATAGTTGTAATATGAATATATAGAGAGACATGAAATATAATTTTATTTTCTTGATTGGATTTTTTCCAGACTAAACCAGGTATGCGCATCCATCTGGACGTCAAGCCTGAGAACTTCTTACGTCACCTGGACTGTCCCACGTCCAATGTTTCAGTCTGCAGCGATTATCTGGAGATAAAATATAATCTAAGCTTCGGATTTAGTGGCGCCAGGTAACTAAATCTACCTGCTACAGTGGCGCTAGGTAACTAAATCTACCTGGTACAGTGGTGCTAGGTAACTAAATCTACCTGCTACAGTGGTGCTAGGTAACTAAATCTACCTGGTACAGTGGTGCTAGGTAACTAAATCTACCTGGTACAGTGGTGCTAGGTAACTAAATCTACCTGGTACAGTGGCGCTAAGTAACTAAATCTAAATGGTACAGTGGCGCTAGATAAAGAAATGTACCTAAATACAGAAGTCATTTACGTTATTAAAGGTTCTACATGTTTGTATGACAGGATTCATGAAATTATGTATTGTCTCGTAGGTTTTGCTGCGGTCTACCACCCAATGACGTCATCGTCAGCAGCGGTAACTCCATGTTGGTTTTGTTTCGAACAACTCAGAATGGGATAGGTGGCTTCAGTGCTGAGGTGTACGCAGGTAAGCTGGACTGGACCTACTGACTCAGTGCTGTACGCAGGTAAGCTGGACTGGACCTAGTCACTCAGTGCTGTACGCAGGTAAGCTGGACTGGACATACTGACTCAGTGATGTACGCAGGTAAGCTGGACTGGACCTACTGACTAGTGTTGTACGCAGGTAAGCTGGACTGGACCTACTGACTCAGTGCTGTACGCAGGTAAGCTGGACTGGACCTACTGACTCAGTGCTGAGGTGTACGCAGGTAAGCTGGACTGGACCTACTGACTCAGTGCTGTACGCAGGTAAGCTGGACTGGACCTACTGACTCAGTGCTGTACGCAGGTAAGCTGGACTGGACCTACTGACTCAGTGCTGAGGTGTACGCAGGTAAGCTGGACTGGACCTACTAACTCAGTGCTGTACGCAGGTAAGCTGGACTGGACATACTGACTCAGTGCTGATGTGTACGCAGGTAAGCTGGACTGGACCTACTGACTCAGTGATGTACGCAGGTAAGCTGGACTGGACCTACTGACTAGTGTTGTACGCAGGTAAGCTGGACTGGACCTACTGACTCAGTGCTGTACGCAGGTAAGCTGGACTGGACCTACTGACTCAGTGCTGAGGTGTACGCAGGTAAGCTGGACTGGACCTACTAACTCAGTGCTGTACGCAGGTAAGCTGGACTTGACCTACTGACTCAGTGCTGAGGTGTACGCAGGTAAGCTGGACTGGACCTACTGACTCAGTGCTGTACGCAGGTAAGCTGGACTGGACCTACTAACTCAGTGCTGTACGCAGGTAAGCTGGACTGGACATACTGACTCAGTGATGTACGCAGGTAAGCTGGACTGGACCTACTGACTAGTGTTGTACGCAGGTAAGCTGGACTGGACCTACTGACTCAGTGCTGTACGCAGGTAAGCTGGACTGGACCTACTGACTCAGTGCTGAGGTGTACGCAGGTAAGCTGGACTGGACCTACTAACTCAGTGCTGTACGCAGGTAAGCTGGACTTGACCTACTGACTCAGTGCTGAGGTGTACGCAGGTAAGCTGGACTGGACCTACTGACTCAGTGCTGTACGCAGGTAAGCTGGACTGGACCTACTGACTCAGTGCTGTACGCAGGTAAGCTGGACTGGACCTACTGACTCAGTGCTGAGGTGTACGCAGGTAAGCTGGACTGGACCTACTGACACAGTGCTGTACGCAGGTAAGCTGGACTGGACCTCCTGACTCAGTGCTGTACGCAGGTAAGTTGGACTGGACATACTGACTCAAAGCTGTACGCAGGTAAGCTGGACTGGACATACTGACTCAGTGCTGTACGCAGGTAAGCTGGACTGGACCTAGTCACTCAGTGCTGAGGTGTACGCAGGTAAGCTGGACTGGACATACTGACTCAGTGCTGTACGCAGGTAAGCTGGACTGGACCTAGTCACTCAGTGCTGAGGTGTACGCAGGTAAGCTGGACTGGACCTACTGACTCAGTGCTGTACGCAGGTAAGCTGGACTGGACCTACTGACTAAGTGCTGAGGTGTACGCAGGTAAGTTGGACTGGACCTAGTCACTTAGTGCTGAGGTGTACGCAGGTAAGCTGGACTGGACATACTGACTCAGTGCTGTACGCAGGTAAGCTGGACTGGACCTACTGACTCAGTGCTGTACGCAGGTAAGCTGGACTGGACCTACTGACTCAGTGCTGTACGCAGGTAAGCTGGACTGGACATACTGACTCAGTGATGTACGCAGGTAAGCTGGACTGGACCTAGTCACTCAGTGCTGTACGCAGGTAAGCTGGACTGGACCTACTGACTCAGTGCTGAGGTGTACGCAGGTAAGCTGGACTGGACCTACTGACTAAGTGCTGAGGTGTACGCAGGTAAGCTGGACTGGACCTACTGACTAAGTGCTGAGGTGTACGCAGGTAAGCTGGACTGGACCTACTGATTCCGTGCTGAGGTGTACGCAGGTAAGCTGGACTGGACCTACTGATTCCGTGCTGATGTGTACGCAGGTAAGCTGGACTGGACCTACTAACTCAGTGCTGTACGCAGGTAAGCTGGACTGGACCTACTAACTCAGTGCTGTACGCAGGTAAGCTGGACTGGACCTACTGACTAAGTGCTGAGCTGTACGCAGGTAAGTTGGACTGGACCTAGTAACTTAGTGCTGAGGTGTACGCAGGTAAGTTGGACTGGACCTACTAACTCAGTGCTGTACGCAGGTAAGCTGGACTGGACCTACTGACTCAGTGCTGTACGCAGGTAAGCTGGACTGGACCTACTGACTCAGTGCTGAACGCAGGTGAGCTGGACTGGACATACTGACTCAGTGCTGAGGTGTACGCAGATAAGCTGGACTGGACCTACTGACTCAGTGCTGTACGCAGGTAAGCTGGACTGGACCTACTGACTCAGTGCTGTACGCAGGTAAGCTGGACTGGACCTACTGACTCAGTGCTGTACGCAGGTAAGCTGGACTGGACATACTGACTTAGTGCTGTACGCAGGTAAGCTGGACTGGACCTACTGACTCAGTGCTGATGTGTACGCAGGTAAGCTGGACTGGACCTACTGACTCAGTGCTGTACACAGGTAAGCTGGACTGGACCTACTGACTCAGTGCTGATGTGTACGCAGGTAAGCTGGACTGGACCTACTGACTCAGTGCTGTACGCAGGTAAGCTGGACTGGACATACTGACTCAGTGCTGATGTGTACGCAGGTAAGCTGGACTGGACCTACTGACTCAGTGCTGTACGAAGGTAAGCTGGACTCGACCTACTGACTCAGTGCTGTACGCAGGTAAGCTGGACTGGACCTACTGACTCAGTGCTGATGTGTACGCAGGTAAGCTGGACTGGACCTACTGACTCAGTGCTGTACGCAGGTAAGCTGGACTGGACCTACTGACTCAGTGCTGTACGCAGGTAAGCTGGACTGGACCTAGTCACTCAGTGATAAAGTATACAAACAGGGGTGGACACACATAAAAAATAACAGGCGAAGAATCCCTGGGTAAATTTAACTGTTGGCAATAATATTGGTTTATTAAACTAGCTCTAAATCAAGCATTATAAGAACCTACTCGAGCAGGCACTACCAGCTCTGGCGAATCCATGATATCTTTCTTCAACAAGTTTCTTGATTTTATTCTGGAACATATTTTCCTTCAACAAGTTTCTTGATTTTATTCTGGAACATATTTTCCTTCAACAAGTTTCTTGATTTTATTCTGGAACATATTTTCCTTCAACAAGTTCTTAATTTTATTCCGGAACATATTTTCCTTCAACAAGTTTCTTGATTTTATTCTGGAACATATTTTCATTCAAGAAGTTTCTTGATTTTATTCTGGAACATATTTTCCTTCAACAAGTTTCTTGATTTTTTTCCGGAACATATTTTCCTTCAACAAGTTTCTTGATTTTATTCTGGAACATATTTTCATTCAAGAAGTTTCTTGATTTTATTCTGGAACATATTTTCCTTCAACAAGTTTCTTGATTTTTTTCTGGAACATATTTTCCTTCAACAAGTTTCTTGATTTTATTCTGGAACATATTTTCCTTCAACAAGTTTCTTGATTTTATTCTGGAACATATTTTCCTTCAACAAGTTTCTTGATTTTTTTCTGGAATATATTTTCCTTCAACAAGTTTCTTGATTTTATTCTGGAACATATTTTCCTTCAACAAGTTTCTTGATTTTATTCTGAAACATATTTTCATTCAACAAGTTTCTTGATTTTATTCTGGAACATATTTTCCTTCAAGAAGTTTCTTGATTTTATTCTGGAACATATTTTCCTTCAAGAAGTTTCTTGATTTTATTCTGGAACATATTTTCTTTCCAAAAGTTTCTTGATTTTATTCTGGAACATATTTTCCTTCAACAAGTTTCTTGATTTTATTCTGGAACATATTTTCCTTCAACAAGTTTCTTGATTTTATTCTGGAACAGAAGCGTGCGGCGGCTGTTCTGACTCTAACGAGGCCCAGAAACCCTGTCACATGACCCAGATTGTCTCGTGCAAGCAGGAGTGGTACAAGATGGAGTACATACCCTGCCCAGTCTACAGCCCGCCCACTTACGCCTGTAACAAATATTTGTAAGTTAAATGTGTACCTGTATCACCCTGCCCAGTCTACAGCCCGCCAACTTACGCCTGTAACAAATATTTGTAAGTTAAATGTGTACCTGTATCACCCTGCCCAGTCTACAGCCCCCCAACTTACGCCTGTAACAAATATTTGTAAGTTAAATGTGTACCTGTATCACCCTGCCCAGTCTACAGCCCGCCAACTTACGCCTGTAACAAATATTTGTAAGTTAAATGTGTACCTGTATCACCCTGCCCAGTCTACAGCCCGCCAACTTACGCCTGTAACAAATATTTGTAAGTTAAATGTGTACCTGTATCACCCTGCCCAGTCTACAGCCCGCCCACTTACGCCTGTAACAAATATTTGTAAGTTAAATGTGTACCTGTATCACCCTGCCCAGTCTACAGCCCGCCAACTTACGCCTGTAACAAATATTTGTAAGTTAAATGTGTACCTGTATCACCCTGCCCAGTCTACAGCCCGCCCACTTACGCCTGTAACAAATATTTGTAAGTTAAATGTGTACCTGTATCACCCTGCCCAGTCTACAGCCCGCCAACTTACGCCTGTAACAAATATTTGTAAGTTAAATGTGTACCTGTATCACCCTGCCCAGTCTACAGCCCGCCCACTTACGCCTGTAACAAATATTTGTAAGTTAAATGTGTACCTGTATCACCCTGCCCAGTCTACAGCCCGCCCACTTACGCCTGTAACAAATATTTGTAAGTTAAATGTGTACCTGTATCACCCTGCCCAGTCTACAGCCCGCCAACTTACGCCTGTAACAAATATTTGTAAGTTAAATGTGTACCTGTATCACCCTGCCCAGTCTACAGCCCGCCAACTTACGCCTGTAACAAATATTTGTAAGTTAAATGTGTACCTGTATCACCCTGCCCAGTCTACAGCCCGCCAACTTACGCCTGTAACAAATATTTGTAAGTTAAATGTGTACCTGTATCACCCTGCCCAGTCTACAGCCCGCCAACTTACGCCTGTAACAAATATTTGTAAGTTAAATGTGTACCTGTATCACCCTGCCCAGTCTACAGCCCGCCCACATACGCCTGTAACAAATATTTGTAAGTTAAATGTGTACCTGTATCACCCTGCCCAGTCTACAGCCCGCCAACTTACGCCTGTAACAAATATTTGTAAGTTAAATGTGTACCTGTATCACCCTGCCCAGTCTACAGCCCCCCAACTTACGCCTGTAACAAATATTTGTAAGTTAAATGTGTACCTGTATCACCCTGCCCAGTCTACAGCCCGCCAACTTACGCCTGTAACAAATATTTGTAAGTTAAATGTGTACCTGTATCACCCTGCCCAGTCTACAGCCCGCCAACTTACGCCTGTAACAAATATTTGTAAGTTAAATGTGTACCTGTATCACCCTGCCCAGTCTACAGCCCGCCAACTTACGCCTGTAACAAATATTTGTAAGTTAAATGTGTACCTGTATCACCCTGCCCAGTCTACAGCCCGCCAACTTACGCCTGTAACAAATATTTGTAAGTTAAATGTGTACCTGTATCACCCTGCCCAGTCTACAGCCCGCCCACATACGCCTGTAACAAATATTTGTAAGTTAAATGTGTACCTGTATCACCCTGCCCAGTCTACAGCCCGCCAACTTACGCATGTAACAAATATTTGTAAGTTAAATGTGTACCTGTATCACCCTGCCCAGTCTACAGCCCGCCAACTTACGCCTGTAACAAATATTTGTAAGTTAAATGTACTTCAGTGTTTCTTCCAGACTTTTTTCTCCGGGGGGGCACTTGAAATCTTCGGGGGGGCGGTAAACTTTCTTCGGGGGGGCGGACACTGTTAAAAGTATATATTTTCTATATAAATTATATAAATTTCATTTAGTTCGGGGGGGCGGTAAAAAATTTTCGGGGGGGCTTCGCCCCCCCCCCCCCCCCCCCGAAGAGATGACTGGAAGAAACTCTGATGTACTTGTATCACCATGTCAAATAAAATTAACAAAACAAATTGCCTAAATCTAGTATAAATGCACAGCTATAAAACAGCATCACATAAAGAAAGACCTTCAGATCTAAGCCCCTATATGATGAACAATAACTTTAAAACTAATTGGATTTTTAAAGATGTTATTTCTGTTATGTTCTAAACATTGGTAAAAAGATGTCTACCAGTTGTATCTATGACTGGTTCTAAAAGAAGAGCATTGTAGTGAAATCTGAAAAATTTACAATTTAAAAAATCTAAATCAATAGAAATGGGACGGCGTGGCCTAACGATAGACTGCTAGCCCGAGAGTCTCGTGTTCGAATCCGAGTTCAAGTTAGTAGAACTTCCCTTAGTCCACCCAGCTCTGATGGGTACCTAACTGACGTAAAGGAAACAAAGGCGGCTGGGCATGGTGCTAACCACGCTATCCCTTTAAATGCCGAAGTCTCTGACGCAGATGAACTCTACTTCATCTGCCCTATGTGTATTGGGCACGATTAAGATGAAAAGAATGGAACAACAATTTGAATAAGTTCGTTGTTATTGTATTTTTCATGTCTATGGTGATACTACTAGCTAAGTGATTCTAGATCTACAGGTGACTTGGTAGTGGTGTTTATTGAATTTCCCCCAACTATTTTTATAAAATACTTGACAACATATTTTGTCAGACCAATTATTCTATTTTTGTTTCGTGTTTTACTCACAGACCAAGAAAACACTCGCGCTTGAGCACGTGTGAGGTGGAGAAGGAGAGGTGCTGCAAGGGATTTACGCTCAAGGCTGGCCTGTGTGTCCGTGAGTCATCACACAACTACACACACATCACACACACATCACACAACTACACACATCACACGACTACACACATCACACGACTACACACACATCACACAGCAACGCACACATCATACAACTACACACACATCACACACATCACACAACTACACACATAACACAACTACACACCCATCACACAACTACACACACATCACACAACTACACACATAACACAACTACACACCCATCACACAACTACACACACATCACACAACTACACACATCACACTACTACACACACATCGCAAAAATACACCCATCACACAACTACACACACACACACACCACACGACTACACATTCACCAAGTAAATAACACACACATTAAATAACATTCTGGCTTTCACCTCGATATTGAATTGCTTATGTAATGTAAATAGCTAATAGTTCGAATTTAGAAGGTTATCCCTTCATAAAGCATCCATATCGATGTAGGAGGGTAACTGGGACTCGGATTGTATGACAGGCTACACATTTCTTTTCTTCTCCAATTGGTTAGAATTAATTACATAAAAATCGCATTAAACTATACGACCTGTAATCAACCTAGGTGACTGTGTTGTATTAGTTTTCGCTAGCGAATAAAGTGTTCCCCTGGTAGTTAGGAGGGCTGTAAATGTTTGTATCTGACAACAACAATCAAGAGCACTAGCAAAGATAAAGGATTTGATCAGAAACCTGTTCAATTATTTTACGTATAAGTAGAATTGCGATGCGATATTTTTTTTCTTATATTTTACTTTTATGTCAAACATTAAACGGGGAAATAATATGTTGAATGAGAGTTTGACTGAGAATGCTATGTTGCGCCATTATTTCAAGCGTAACTTTTTTTTTACCCCCCAGATGATGACGTGGTAGCTACAACAACGGACGTGTCAGATAGCAACACAACACAACAAACAACGACAAATCAGGTAAGGTTTGCACTTTCGAACCAGACTATCCAGGAGCAGAGGAAGTAGAGTTCCCCTGTTACTTTCACCTCGGCATATGAATTTTGGTCAGCATTACGGCCAGCCGCCTTTATTTTGATTAGCGAGAGTGGCTTTCTAGAATTATTTTAGGAAGAATATATATATATATATATATATATATATATATATATATATATATATATATATATATATATATATATATATATAGATAGATAGATAGATATATATATATATATATATATTTATTTATATATATATATATTTATTTATATATATATATATATATATATATATATATATATATATATATATATATATATATATATATATATATGACCCAGGTGACACAGGAGCCGCCATTGGGCTGGACATCTTGGTCCAGCTGGTCAACTTGTACCGCGTCATGTGGCGGATGTGGCAAGAGAGGGCGCACACGAACCTGTGCCAACAGCTCGCTATGCAGGTCAGTACTGAGTTCTATTCTACCAAATACACTGGGTACAAAACATTTTGAAATTACCCAAATCTTGTAATAAAAGTTTAGCAACCTAAGCAAAGATTAAAATGGTATCATCTGAGAAAAGCCAATGTTTCAGGGGTCAGACTGTAGAAAGTGAAACCCAGGTGTGTAATGTCCAGCCGTGTCCAAACATGCAGGCCTACGCCTGTCCTCAGGTCACTAAAGAAGAATATAATTGTGGCTGGCTCAGGAACTGCACCAGGTGACCTTATATCTATTTCTCTCGCCATCTATTTCTCTCGCCATCTATTTCTCTCTCCATCTATTTCTCTATCCATCTATTTCTCTCTACATCTATTTCTCTCTCCATCTTTTTCTCTCTCCATCTATTTCTCTCTCCATCTATTTCTCTCTGCATCTATTTCTCTCTCCATCTATTTCTCTCTCCATCTATTTTTCTCTGCATCTATTTCTCTCTACATCTATTTCTCTCTGCATCTATTTCTTTCTCCATCTATTTCTCTCTGCATATATTTATCTCTGCATCTATTTCTCTCTGCATCTATTTCTCTCTGCATCTATTTCTCTCTGCATCTATTTCTCTCTCCATCTATTTCTCTCCGCATCTATTTCTGTCTGCATCTATTTCTCTCTCCATCTATTTCTCTCTGCATCTATTTCTCTCTCCATCTATTTCTCTCTGCATCTATTTCTCTCTGCATCTAGTTCTTCCCTTCTGTTGTTCCATTGATTACTTTTAATTTTAGAACTACCTTCGATATCCGAAAGTTCTTAACTCTGTTTCGGTTTCCAAAATAGGACATCTTGAGCATCATTTCATGCAGGCGAACGAATGTTCACATATAATATAGCATCATTTCATATAGGCGAACGAATGTTCACATATAATATAGCATCATTTCATATAGGCGAACGAATGTTCACATATAATATAGCATCATTTCATATAGGCGAACGAATGTTCACATATAATATAGCATCATTTCATATAGGCGAACGAATGTTCACATATAATATAGCATCATTTCATATAGGCGAACGAATGTTCACATCTATAATCTATAATATAACGCTGCTGGTAGTGTGTCAGTCCTTCCTTCCTTCCTTCCTTCCTTCCTTCCGTCATCGCTATAGATTTTGGAACCATAAAAGTAAACATTCGCACCATGCTGTGCTTTTCAGTGCACCGCAGTGTCTTATTATAATTAATAGAGTAGGGTTTGTTTATATAGCGGCATAGAGCTATTTTATAATTGCCACGGTTTTTACTCTTTCGCATAACGTCAAGAAAATATTAAATACACGCAAACTGCTAAAACGTATTAAAAAGATTAATGTCAAATATCATTTTCGTTTAGGTTCCCAGAAAAAGTGGATACATTTTAATAAGATAATAACAGTACGGTAGAAAAATTAAATTAATTTAACTCTTTTCTAATTTTGACAAAGGAGGTAATTTAAAAATACATTAAACTCACGCTAATAAAAAATGTAAATGCAAATATACGTTCGTCATAGAAGGAATTAGTGTTGCAATAATATAATTAGCAAAATGTGAATGCAAATTATTCGGATGTGTAAGAGGAAATTATTGTTAGAAAATTATAAATAGCATGGATTGATAAAAGGCAATCTTTTATTTATTTTATTCACTGAATGTAGGCCCTACTTTTTATTGCTTATAATTTTTAATCAACTATTCAGCACTATTATAGACGCGTCATCACGTTCATTAGGTGCGCAATGATTTTAGTTATGAAACTCTATTGTAAATTTTTAAAATTTAAAGTGCTGGAAATAAATTGCGTGAATGGATAAAGTGAAATATTGTATATATTATAGATACTGACTATTATTTATACTGTTTTCTAATTATTATTCTATCTTTCGGGTTTTATAGGAGAGGCGTAGCGAAGGGGGGGGGGGCATATGTCCCCGGGTGCCGACCTTAGGGGGCGCCAAAGTGGGTTGGAAAAAATTTGCGAGGGGGGGTGGTGGTGGAAATCGAAAGTTTTACGGCGGGGGGGGGGGGGGGGAAGGGGTGCAAATCGAAAGTTTGAGGGGGGTGCAAATCACCGGAAAGGGCGCGATTTGGCGCTACGGGCTAGACTGTGAGCAATATGCCTTTATGATTGCATTTAAATTGTGTTTATGTTATGAGTGTTGTGTTTGATTGTTCGTTTTTTTTTTTTTTTTTTGCGTTCGTTTGTGTTGTGTTTAGTTTTGTTCTGTTGGTACATTTAAAAAAGATTTACCGTGGCGGAGCACGGGATGCAGCTAGTATAATATAGCATCATTTCATATAGGCGAACGAATGTTCACATATAATATTCTGTACGTTGGTTTCTGTCATTTATTGGTGATTTCCATTGAACGGAAGTGGCATTTTGTTTTACTTCCGTGTGAAACCTACAACCAGTTTGCCATTTTAATAAGATGGACGAAATTTTAATTATTTGGGAGATCACTTCAGACCCCCCCCCCTACGTTATATATATAATGCTTAATGGTTTATCGTTGATTGTGTCTTACCTCACCTAATATAAAGCTCTTTCAAACAACAGGACAAAAACAGAAATGAAGGAGTGTGTGACACGATGTTGTCCTAACTACGAGGACAAAAATGGCGTCTGTCAGCCCGTATCATCCATACGAAAACGAAGAAGGAGAAAGTAGTTTCAGCCATCTTGGTCACGATGTGTTGAAAGTGTGTCGGGGAATGATGTGTTGCTGGTGTGTCGGTGATGTGTTGCTGGTGTGTCGGTGATGTGTTGCTGGTGTGTCGGTGATGTGTTGCTGTGTGTCGGTGATGTGTTGCTGGTGTGTGGGGAGATGATGTGTTGCTGGTGTGTCGGTGATGTGTTGCTGGTGTGTCGGTGATGTGTTGCTGGTGTGTCGGAACATGATGTGTTGGTGGTGTGTCGGTGATGTGTTGCTGGTGTGTCGGGACATGATGTGTTGCTTGTGTGTCGGTGATGTGTTGCTGGTGTGTCGGTGATGTGTTGAAAGTGTGTCGGGGAATGATGTGTTGCTGGTGTGTCGGTGATGTGTTGCTGGTGTGTCGGTGATGTGTTGCTGGTGTGTCGGTGATGTGTTGCTGGTGTGTGGGGAGATGATGTGTTGCTGGTGTGTCGGTGATGTGTTGCTGGTGTGTCGGTGATGTGTTGCTGGTGTGTCGGTGATTTGTTGCTGGTGTGTCGGTGATGTGTTGCTGGTGTGTCGGGGCATGATGTGTTGCTGGTGTGTCGGTGATTTGTTGCTGGTGTGTCGGTGATGTGTTGCTGGTGTGTCGGGGCATGATGTGTTGCTGGTGTGTCGGTGATGTGTTGCTGGTGTGTGGGGAGATGATGTGTTTCTGGTGTGTCGGTGATTTGTTGCTGGTGTGTCGAGGCATGATGTGTTGGTGGTGTGTCGGTTATGTGTTGCTGATGTGTCGGTTAGGTGTTGCTGGTGTGTGGGGGGTGATGTGTTGCTGGTGTGTCGTGCCATGATGTGTTGCTGGTGTGTCGGTGATGTGTTGCTGGTGTGTCGTGCCATGATGTGTTGCTGGTGTGTCGAGGCATTATCTGTTGGTGTTTTGTAGCTCCAAGACCACAGCTAACATGCAGGCTGTCAAGTTTCTAGAATATTCTAAGCAGCTCCGATTTGACCTGGCTTGTAGCAGGTAGAGGCTGCCGATTTTGTTGTACTTGACGAGATCAAAGCTCCATAAATGGTTGTACTTGATGACATCAGAGCTTCATAAAAATGATTGTACTTGATGACATCAGCGCTCCATAAAATGGTTGTACTTGATGACATCAGCGCTCCATAAAATGGTTGTACTTGATGACATCAGCGCTCCATAAAATAGTTGTACTTGATGACATCAGAGCTTCATAAAAATGGTTGTACTTGATGACATCAGCGCTCCATAAAATGGTTGTACTTGATGACATCAGCGCTCCATAAAATGGTTGTACTTGATGACATCAGCGCTCCATAAAATGGTTGTACTTGATGACATCAGAGCTTCATAAAAATGGTTGTACTTGATGACATCAGCGCTCCATAAAATGGTTGTACTTGATGACATCAGAGCTCCATAAAATGGTTGTACTTGATGAGATCAGCGCTCCATAAAATGGTTGTACTTGATTTATCAGCGCTCCATAAAACTAATGTGATAATGTCAAGGTCCATGTTTTGTTGGCCATAGTAGCGTGTTGTAGTGAAAGCATAGGACGAAAACTTTAGTTTGTTGATGTAGAAAATAAATAAAAATGTTGATCATACTTGACTAGTGGGTCAAGACTACCAGTAGCTTGACTGGACTTTGTAAATATATTTAGCCTGTAATTGATTAGGATATTGTGTTGTGCATGTAGTCTATTTTAATTGTAGACATCAACGTATAATGAAGTAGTTTTTTTTTATAAATGTTCACCTAGTAACCACTAGCTCGATTTGTATGACATGATGGCGGATGGGAGGGGGGGTGTACACAGTATGTAGGTATAAAGTATTATTTTATGACGTCATTCTCTTCTTTTTATGTCATGTAATGGGGATAAAATCAAATCATTTGGCTTGGACGATCTCCTTGTCGAAAAATTGGATATTTTATTTCAGTCAATATTGTAATGTGAAGATTATTTACACTATGACAGTTCACATTTTTAATTCAATCTTGTTATGTGGAGATTTTTATACTGTGACATTTGGTCTTTTCTTTTCGATGTTTTCTTTTTACAATAAATAATGAAACAGCTCGAGTTTTTGATTCGTTTTATTTTGTTTTTCATGTCTCAGAAAAGACTTTTTGTATAACTATAAACTACTAGCAGACGGTATGCGTTACACGTCAATTATAGGCCTATATATTTTAATGTTTGAGAAAAATATTTTATAAAAAAGTTATTGGTCAAAACGCAATGTTCTTAACAACATGTTGAACAATATTAGTGACAAAGAAAAGAAATAACTAAATAGCTAAAAATCCGATACATTTAAAATAACAAGCTACCAATACCTATTAGAATAATTAAAACCAAATTATATACATTACTAGCTGTATACCTGTGCTCCGTCACGGTGACTCTTTTTTAAATGTGCCAACTTAAGAACAGAACAAAACTTAACACAAACACAAAACTAAACACAACACAAACACAACACAAACCGGGACGTATAGTATTATGTAAAATGGTATATCTTCTTGTAGTTTGGTGCAGGTGTCTATAAAACAACTTTTTGGTGCGACCTTCTTCTTTTCTCCTTCGTTCTTAATTAAGTATATGATGGAGGATTTAAACAAGAAGCCCAACTTCGTGTATGAACTGGACTGTGGTCTCCAGATCAGCGGGTGCCCCATGTAGTTTTTCATTGATTGGGGTGTATAGGGGGCAGTGTTTAGATCGCGCCTGGCTATATAATGAACATTCTTGAAGGACGGGCCCCGTATTCTCCGGGGCCTTGCCATAAGGGCATATTTCGCCACACCAATTTTTTAGTTTTTTATGCATGTGCTGTTTTAGTCTGTTGTGGCCTGTTCTGAGTCTAAAGATTATGCATTGTTGGTTTCGTGTCAAATTGTAATATCCGTCGTCTTTTTTGTAGTGAGGGTGTGTGTCTACCACATTTTGTTTGTTTGTTTTTTATGATTCTTTTGATCTCATTTCCTTGTATCTGGTTGTGGCCCGGGATCCGCTTTAACTGTCTTTGATTAAAAATAAGAAGAAGAAAACAGTAAGTTTAGTGTATAAAATAAATAAAAGGCGATATTTAAAATACTTACCACATTTCACTTGATCAATCTACGCTAATTATGAAAAAAAAATATTTCCAAACACCAAAACAAAATAATAAAAGGATTTTTTTTCCTCCCGATGTAATGGTTTTAATAAAGGGAAGTAATTGTGTTTTCCTAATTTATCAAGGGACGTAAGGAAGAGTAAAGCACTAAATGTAAATAACTAAAGTTTTTGTGAAAGGTGATACATTTTTATTTTTCTTCTTAAATAAAATTTAGTTTATACATTTAAATATCTACCATATAAAATTTAGTTTATACATTTAAAACATCTACCATATTATTTTCAACAATAAGCACGGCCTCTAGTCTTGCACACCGTGGAGTGTACTGACCTAAAGATCTTTAGTTTGATCTCTGCTCTGTTCAGAAAGTAATGAACAAATAACAATAAAATACACTCATACATTTTTTATCCAGCACGTTATTTTGACACTTATTCAATGTGTTTTTAAGGAGATTTTAAAACATGCGTAAATTTTGAGTCATTGATAGATTTGAACTAATCAATAGCTCTTCACTTTCTAATTACATTTGCTTTCGGTATCTCGCCCATATTAACATGCTAGTCAGCAATGTCTAATTAAATTAGCATGTAAAACATCGATAGTTAATTAGTGATCAGTTAAACAAGCGTTTTCTAGAGCTATAACACCAGCTGTAGAGAAATAGATTTTGTCTACATGTCGCTCATTAGCTGAATCTCTCAGGTTAGTCATGTTGTCTTACATGTTAACTTTAACCAGGTTAGTAATGTTGTCTTACATGTTAACTTTAACCACGTTAGTTTAGTTGTCTTACATGTTAACTTTAACCACGTTAGTTTAGTTGTCTTACATGTTAACTTTAACCAGGTTAGTAATGTTGTTGTCTTACATGTTAACTTTAACCAGGTTAGTAATGTTGTCTTACATGTTAACTTTAGCCACGTTAGTAATGTTGTTGTCTTACATGTTAACTTTAACCAGGTTAGTAATGTTGTCTAACATGTTAACTTTAACCAGGTTAGTAATGTTGTCTTACATGTTAACTTTAACCAGGTTAGTAATGTTGTCTTACATGTTAACTTTAGCCACGTTAGTAATGTTGTTGTCTTACATGTTAACTTTAACCAGGTTAGTAATGTTGTCTAACATGTTAACTTTAACCAGGTTAGTAATGTTGTCTTACATGTTAACTTTAACCAGGTTAGTAATGTTGTCTTCCATGTTAACTTTAGCCACGTTAGTAATGTTGTTGTCTTACATGTTAACTTTAACCAGGTTAGTAATGTTGTCTAACATGTTAACTTTAACCAGGTTAGTAATGTTGTCTTACATGTTAACTTTAACCAGCTTAGTAATGTTGTCTTACATGTTAACTTTAACCAGGTTAGTAATGTTGTCTAACATGTTAACTTTAGCCACGTTAGTAATGTTGTTGTCTTACATGTTAACTTTAACCAGGTTAGTAATGTTGTTGTCTAACATGTTAACTTTAACCAGGTTAGTAACGTTGTTGTCTTACATGTTAACTTTAACCAGGTTAGTCATGTTGTTGTCTTACATGTTAACTTTAACCAGGCTAGTAATGTTGTTGTCTTACATGTTTGACCAAAGAAATAATTCATGTGGTCACCAGAGCGATACTATGAGCAGGACCATGACGCTCACGACATTTGCCATTGTTGTCATCCTGGTTAGCTTCACCTCAGGACAGCCGGGTAATGAATTATCTATACAAAGTGTACAACATATTCAAATATACAAATAAAGCTGCTTTTAATAAGATTTGAAATTAATAAAGTGTTCAAAATATTAAGATATAGGCCTACAAATGAAGCTGCTTTTAATAATAGAAACATTTGAAGCAAATATCAGAGCGTGTTAGTTGTGACATTTTTTCTCTCTAATTGAGAAGATTGTAGCCGTGGCGTAGATGTGGCTATAGTTGGAGCCGGTCCCAGTGGAGCTTACTCTGCCTACAGATACCAGGAGAGGAAAAATGTGACTGTTGAACTCTTTGAGCTCAGCGATCGCATCGGTGGCCGAGTCTACACAACCAGCTTCCCCGGGGTGCCTGGCTTGAAGCTGGAGGCTGGGGCTATGATGTTCTACCCTGAGCTGCACCCCACAGTACAGGGGCTTGTTCAAAAGCTGGGTGGGTTGACGTCATTATACATCAGGGGGGGGGGGGGTGGAGGGGTAGTGTTGTTTGGCAGACCTGACCAGTTTGCTTAATTAAACCCACGCAATTCTCTATGATGTTGTAGGTCTCCAAACTAGAATATTCCAGGAAGACGAGCGCTCTGGGGTCAGGTATTACCTGAGAGGACAGAACTTGATGAAGCAGCTAATTACACAGGATGGAGACCTCCCGTTCAAGCTTAGCCCTGAAGAGAAAATAAACCAGCATCGTCTAGCCCAGCAAGTTATTTTACTTCCACAAGCTTTTACTAATCTTACTCTCTCTGTCCTACTTTCTTCATCCGCCACGTCATCGTGTATTTAAACTTCACCTTCTTCTACCAAACTGTTTTGTCAAGATCCCGCAGGACGATAAGAACTTTGACATCATTTGATGTTTTATTATTGTATTTTAATGTATCAAAGTTTGTTTATAAAGTAATAAACTCGCGCTTTTACGCACATTTAGTCATCCTCATTTTCAACGTAGAGTGGACGGAATATATAGGCATATATAGGAATATATATATATATATATATATATATATATATATATATATATATATATATATATATATATATATATATATATAATGGGTGGACTAAGGGAAGCCTTAGTACAGGTTCGAACTCAAGCTCAAAGTTCGGGCTCAAAGTCCAAACACGCCATATTGAGAAAAAAAAAAGGTTTCTCCACCAGATACTTTAAATTTTAAAGATACTCCTGCTCCACTAGATAATTAAAGTAATACGCCTTAATCCTCTTTCACCAGCTACTATTTGGAGAAATTAATTGGCGCTAGTATAAAAACCCCAATCAGCCACTCAACATTTCTAGGTCTGAAAGTCTCTGATGGTAGAGAGCTGTTTAAGTTGACGTAAGTTATTTGCAGTGGATAATACATACATGTTTGTAATTGTATATATATATATATATATATATATATATATATATATGTAAATATATCCACTACATAAGTTCTTCTAACCGTTAGATTTGATGAAGCGTTGGATCTGGTTGCTACAAAAGAAGGAAAAGAATTGCTTCAAGCCTTAACGCTAGAGTTTCCTATAGCCACGCCCCTATCTGCTCTCAGTGTCTTTGAGAACTTGTTGGGAGATTATAGGTAATCTCTCAAAGATCTTTCGCTCTATATTCATGTACTTGATTACAACGATCTAGTTCTCTAAGGTAGATTTTTTATTTACCCGCTCTTGCACTGAAGTAACTTGTACAGCTCAAGTTTTTTTTTCTTCTTTAAACCTCTAAACAAACGTTAATGTTCAGACGATTGTGTTTCTTGTAAGGAAACGTTATCGATTACCAACACTCAATTGCCTTGTTGAACAAGTTAATTAAGATCCAAGTATTAGTCCAAGTGTTCAAACAGCTAATAAGGTTTCTCCCAACTGCTTTTATGTCTGACTACAGTGGAAACCGTACAGTCGCCACACTAACAGACGGCATGAGCGCTCTCCCTGCACGCTTAGTGGAGGAGTTTCTTAACTCTAACCCCAGGTCAGTTGATGGAAACTCTAGTCCAGGTCAGTTGATGGAAACTCTAGGTCAGTTGATGAAAACTCTAGTCCAGGTCAGTTGATGGAAACTCTAGGTCAGTTGATGAAAACTCTAGTCCAGGTCAGTTGATGGAAACTCTAGGTCAGTTGATGAAAACTCTAGTCCAGGTCAGTTGATGAAAACTCTAGTCCAGGTCAGTTGATGAAAACTCTAGTCCAAGTCAGTTGATGAAAACTCTTGTCCAGGTCAGTTGATGAAAACTCTAGTCCAGGTCAGTTGATGGAAACTCTAAGTCAGTTCATGAAAACTCTAGTCCAGGTCAGTTGATGGAAACTCTAGGTCAGTTGATGAAAACTCTAGTCTAGGTCAGTTGATGGAAACTCTAGGTCAGTTGATGAAAACTCTAGTCTAGGTCAGTTGATGAAAATTTAGGTCAGTTGATGAAAACTCTAGTCCAGGTCAGTTGATGAAAACTCTAATTCAGGTCAGTTGATGAAAACTCTAGGTCAGTTGATGAAAACTCTAGTCCAGGTCAGTTGATGGAAACTCTAGGTCAGTTGATGAAAACTCTAGTCTAGGTCAGTTGATGAAAATTTAGGTCAGTTGATGAAAACTCTAGTCCAGGTCAGTTGATGAAAACTCTAATTCAGGTCAGTTGATGAAAACTCTAGGTCAGTTGATGATAACTCTAGTCCAGGTCAGTTGATGGAAACTCTAGTCCAGGTCAGTTGATGAAAACTCTAGGTCAGTTGATGATAACTCTAGTCCAGGTCAGTTGATGAAAACTCTAGTCCAGGTCAGTTGATGAAAACTCTAGTCCAGGTCAGTTGATGATAACTCTATTCACAGGTCAGTTGATGAAAACTCTAATCACAGGTCAGTTGATGAAAACTCTAGGTCAGTTGATGAAAACTCTAGTCCAGGTCAGTTGATGAAAACTCTAATCACAGGTCAGTTGATGAAAACTCTAATCAAGGTCAGTTGATGGAAACTCTAATCACAGGTCAGTTGATGAAAACTCTAGGTCAGGTCAGTTGATGAAAACTCTAATCACAGGTCAGTTGATGAAAACTCTAGGTCAGTTGATGAAAACTCTAGTCCAGGTCAGTTGATGAAAACTCTAGTCCAGGTCAGTTGATGAAAACTCTAGTCCAGGTCAGTTGATGAAAACTCTTGTCCAGGTCAGTTGATGAAAACTCTAGTCCAGGTCAGTTGATGGAAACTCTAAGTCAGTTGATGAAAACTCTAGTCCAGGTCAGTTGATGGAAACTCTAGGTCAGTTGATGAAAACTCTAGTCTAGGTCAGTTGATGGAATCTCTAGGTCAGTTGATGAAAACTCTAGTCTAGGTCAGTTGATGAAAATTTAGGTCAGTTGATGAAAACTCTAGTCCAGGTCAGTTGATGAAAACTCTAATTCAGGTCAGTTGATGAAAACTCTAGGTCAGTTGATGAAAACTCTAGTCCAGGTCAGTTGATGGAAACTCTAGGTCAGTTGATGAAAACTCTAGTCTAGGTAAGTTGATGAAACTTTAGGTCAGTTGACGAAAACTTTAGTCCAGGTCAGTTGATGAAAACTCTAATTCAGGTCAGTTGATGAAAACTCTAGGTCAGTTGATGATAACTCTAGTCCAGGTCAGTTGATGGAAACTCTAGTCCAGGTCAGTTGATGAAAACTCTAGGTCAGTTGATGATAACTCTAGTCCAGGTCAGTTGATGAAAACTCTAGTCCAGGTCAGTTGATGAAAACTCTAGTCCAGGTCAGTTGATGATAACTCTAATCACAGGTCAGTTGATGAAAACTCTAATCACAGGTCAGTTGATGAAAACTCTAGGTCAGTTGATGAAAACTCTAGTCCAGGTCAGTTGATGAAAACTCTAATCACAGGTCAGTTGATGAAAACTCTAATCAAGGTCAGTTGATGGAAACTCTAATCACAGGTCAGTTGATGAAAACTCTAGGTCGGTTGATGAAAACTCTAGTCCAGGTCAGTTGATGAAAACTCTAATCACAGGTCAGTTGATGAAAACTCTAGGTAAGTTGATGAAAACTCTAGTCCAGGTCAGTTGATGAAAACTCTAATCACAGGTCAGTTGATGAAAACTCTAGGTCAGTTGATGAAAACTCTAGTCCAGGTCAGTTGATGAAAACTCTAATCAAGGTCAGTTGATGAAAACTCTAATCACAGGTCAGTTGATGAAAACTCTAGGTCAGTTGATGAAAACTCTAGTCCAGGTCAGTTGATGAAAACTCTAATCACAGGTCAGTTGATGAAAACTCTAATCAAGGTCAGTTGATGGAAACTCTAATCACAGGTCAGTTGATGAAAACTCTAGGTCAGGTCAGTTGATGAAAACTCTAATCACAGGTCAGTTGATGAAAACTCTAGGTCAGTTGATGAAAACTCTAGTCCAGGTCAGTTGATGAAAACTCTAATCACAGGTCAGTTGATGAAAACTCTAGTACAGGTCAGTTGATGAAAACTCTAGTCCGGGTCAGTTGATGAAAACTCTAGTCCAGGTCAGTTGATGAAAACTCTAATCAAGGTCAGTTGATGGAAACTCTAGTCCAGGTCAGTTGATGAAAACTCTAGTCCAGGTCAGTTGATGAAAACTCTAGTCCAGGTCAGTTGATGAAAACTCTAGTCCAGGTCAGTTGATGAAAACTCTAATCACAGGTCAGTTGATGAAAACTCTAGGTCAGTTGATGAAAACTCTAGTCCAGGTCAGTTGATGAAAACTCTAATCACAGGTCAGTTGATGAAAACTCTAATCACAGATCAGTTGATGAAAACTCTAATCAAGGTCAGTTGATGAAAACTCTAGGTCAGTTGATGAAAACTCTAGTCCAGGTCAGTTGATGAAAACTCTAATCACAGGTCAGTTGATGAAAACTCTAGTCCAGGTCAGTTGATGAAAACTCTAGTCCGGGTCAGTTGATGAAAACTCTAGTCCAGGTCAGTTGATGAAAACTCTAATCAAGGTCAGTTGATGGAAACTCTAATCACAGGTCAGTTGATGAAAACTCTAATCAAGGTCAGTTGATGAAAACTCTAGTCCAGGTCAGTTGATGGAAACTCTAGTCCAGGTCAGTTGATGGAAACTCTAGGTCAGTTGATGAAAACTCTAGTCCAGGTCAGTTGATGGAAACTCTAGGTCAGTTGATGAAAACTCTAGTCCACGTCAGTTGATGAAAACTCAAGTCCTGGTCAGTTGATGATAACTCTAGTCCAGGTCAGTTGATGAAAACTCTAATCAAGGTCAGTTGATGAAAACTCTAGTCCTGGTCAGTTGATGAAAACTCTAATCACAGGTCAGTTGATGAAAACTCTAGGTCAGGTCAGTTGAAAACTCTAGTCCAGGTCAGTTGATGAAAACTCTAATCACAGGTCAGTTGATGAAAACTCTAATCACAGGTCAGTTGATGAAAACTCTAGTTCAGGTCAGTTGATGAAAACTCTATTCAAGGTCAGTTGATGAAAACTCTAGGTCAGTTGATGAAAACTCTAGTCCAGGTCAGTTGATGAAAACTCTAATCACAGGTCAGTTGATGAAAACTCTAGTCCAGGTCAGTTGATGAAAACTCTAGTCCGGGTCAGTTGATGAAAACTCTAGTCCAGGTCAGTTGATGAAAACTCTAGGTCAGTTGATGAAAACTCTAGTCCAGGTCAGTTGATGAAAACTCTAGTCCTGGTCAGTTGATGAAAACTCTAGTCCAGGTCAGTTGATGAAAACTCAAGGTCAGTTGATGGAAACTCTAGTCCTGGTCAGTTGATGAAAACTCTAGTCCAGGTCAGTTGATGGAAACTCTAATCCTGGTCTGTTGATGAAAACTCTAATCAAGGTCAGTTGATGGAAACTCTAGTCCTGGTCAGTTGATGAAAACTCTAGTCCAGGTCAGTTGATGAAAACTCTAATCAAGGTCAGTTGATGAAAACTCTAGTCCTGGTCAGTTGATGAAAACTCTAGTCCAGGTCAGTTGATGGAAACTCTAATCCTGGTCTGTTGATGAAAACTCTAATCAAGGTCAGTTGATGAAAACTCTAGGTCAGGTCAGTTGATGAAAACTCTAATCACAGGTCAGTTAATGAAAACTCTAATCAAGGTCAGTTGATGGAAACTCTAATCCTGGTCTGTTGATGAAAACTCTAGTTCAGGTCAGTTGATGAAAACTCTAATCAAGGTCAGTTGATGAAAACTCTAGTTCAGGTCAGTTGATGAAAACTCTAGTCCTGGTCAGTTGATGAAAACTCTAATCAAGGTCAGTTGATGAAAACTCTAATCAAGGTCAGTTGATGAAAACTCTAATCAAGGTCAGTTGATGAAAACTCTAGTTCAGGTCAGTTGATGAAAACTCTAGTTCAGGTCAGTTGATGAAAACTCTAATCACAGGTCAGTTGATGATAACTCTAATCAAGGTCAGTTGATGAAAACTCTAGTTCAGGTCAGTTGATGAAAACTCTAATCAAGGTCAGTTGATGAAAACTCTAGTTCAGGTCAGTTGATGAAAACTCTAGGTCAGGTCAGTTGATGAAAACTCTAATCAAGGTCAGTTGATGAAAACTCTAGGTCAGGTCAGTTGATGAAAACTCTAGTCCAGGTCAGTTGATGGAAACTCTAATCCTGGTCTGTTGATGAAAACTCTAATCAAGGTCAGTTGATGAAAACTCTAGTTCAGGTCAGTTGATGAAAACTTTAGGTCAGGTCAGTTGATGAAAACTCTAATCAAGGTCAGTTGATGAAAACTCTAGGTCAGGTCAGTTGATGAAAACTCTAATCAAGGTCAGTTGATGAAAACTCTAGTCCAGGTCAGTTGATGAAAACTCTAGTCCAGGTCAGTTGATGAAAACTCTAATCAAGGTCAGTTGATGAAAACTCTAGGTCAGGTCAGTTGATGAAAACTCTAGTTCAGGTCAGTTGATGAAAACTCTAATCAAGGTCAGTTGATGAAAACTCTAGTTCAGGTCAGTTGATGAAAACTCTAGTTCAGGTCAGTTGATGAAAACTCTAATCAAGGTCAGTTGATGAAAACTCTAGTTCAGGTCAGTTGATGAAAACTCTAAGTCAGGTCAGTTGATGAGTTCAGTTGTTGTAATGTGTTCAGTTGTTGTAATGTGTTCAGTTGTCGTAATGTGTTCAGTTGTTGTAATGTGTTCATATTTAGTGCTCATTTGTTCTGTGTTTTCATGTTGTTGTAGAGTACAAAGATGGCGCCTCTGATATGCTCATGAATGTATAATACATGCCACGTGTTCTATCTTTACTCAGACAGCACAAGTTGACCATAAACAGACGACTAGACTCAATAGAGAAACGTGCAAATGGTTCTTACACTTTGGTCTTCCAAAAAACAATGACACAAGACAAAACCACCACCGATCTAGTAAGTTGATATTATGTCAATGTGAAGTTAACATCATGCGATTGGAATGCTTGCGATTTGTTAACATTAAATTCATTTACCCCCATGTACATTTCAGTGGAGTTTAAATAACCCCACATCCGGAACGAAATAGAATTTAGAAAATAAATACTCACACCAGTGTCGGAGCCCCACCCACTGTGAAAAAGTCACTGTCGCTACACCATCCCTACTCCGTTTATAACCGAAACTACTGCAACTACCCCTCTCCCCTTCATGTTTCTGCATGTGGACGATCTTTTAAATGGCATCGGCTTAGAACACCATTTTAATGACATAGGACAGGGGTCGGCAACCTGCGGCTCGCGAGCCGCATGCGGCTCTTTTGAAATCAAGATGCGGCTCTCCAGCTCCTTGAACAACTACTAATAATCTTAATAAAAATATAAGATATTTGAAATTTAAAAAATGTTAGTGGCTCTTTAAAACCAGGGAAATTTTGAAAATTGTAACTTTTGGCTCTTCCGCTTCAAAAGGTTGCCGACCCCTGACATAGGAAGTAGAGAAGCATTGCACAAATTTGACCATAATGTTTATCTTTGGACAGGGCGAGACTGATGTGGTATGTGCAAAGACTGTGATCCTGGCTTTACCAAAGTGTGCACTTCGGCAGCTGAAATGGGAGCGACTTAAGTAAATATTTTCTTCAATCTTTACCTTTGTTAACTTTCGTATCCTTGTAGGTGTGCTTAGTTTATGACGGCGCAATTTTATAGACAGATGTTTGACTATTAGCGTTGCAGTGACTAGTCTGCCCCCCCCCCCCCCCCCCCCCAGTGTGTGACGTCATTTATTGACGACCACTACTTACAATGACAAGTGTAGGGAAATATTAAAAACGACGTCTTTAATACCTCATTATTTTACAGAAAAAAATTTCAAGGTCACTTTAAACTGCCATTCTCGAACATAATACAATTTCAAAGTCATATAATAACTATTCTTACAACTTATTTTTTTATTCTTTAGAGAAAAGGCTGTAGCTGAGGCGATTAACGATGCTGTTAGAGATCTGGCCCTTAGCAAAGTATTTTTTACTTTCCCGAGCAAATGGTGGCTTCAGAGTCCCCCCTCCAACATAACCTTCTCAGATTTGACATTCACTGCGGCCTACGATTGGGGTCAGACAAGGAAAGACAACACGCTCGTCTATGGCCTGCTGGCCAGTTCTGCTAGAGGTGGCGCCACTTCACGTCTGGAACAGCTCAACTCAGTGGGCGAACCAATCCAGGGCTCCATGCCGGGCCCAAACAAGGTGAGCAGTGCTCTCAAGGAGGAGCTGCTCACCCAACTGGCGCGGGTGGTTGGACTGGACCGTGAGAAAATACCTGAGCCCCTCCATGCCATGTCCCAGTTCTGGACGCTGCCCAGTGACAGGTGTGGGCTGGTCACCTGGAGGTTCGGCTACAACTATGAGCAGGTGTCGGCCCGACTGGAGCAGCAGCTGTTGAGTGGCGACATCTACCTTGTCGGCTCGGACCACGCCTATGGTCATCACACCATCTGGGTGCAGGGGGCGCTAGAGACTGTGGACAAGGTCATGGGCAAACTACTGCACCAGTAATTGGAGCTATTAAGCTACTGCATTCATTCAGACAACCGCATCATTAATTTGCTCTTTTTAATGCATCGTTAATTTGCTTGATCCAGATTTAATTGCTTTTTTTCCGTAGCAACTAAAAATTGAAAGTGTACATCTAAAATTCTTTAAAGGTCTGGTAGTTCGATGATACTGTTTCCTTTATCAGATTATCTTGTGTATTCTTCTCTAAAAACTACTTTAGACTAGGCTAAGATTGAGACACCTATTGTTTTGTTTTAAAATTGCACATAACTTGAGTTGTGCTGTGCCCCCCCCCCCCCCCCCCACCTTGATAATAAATTGAAGCTCCAACACAAAACCAATCCGTTGCACTTGTTTTTTAACCGCTGACACCAATCAATGATCACAACCATTGGAATTACTAACTAGTTAACAGAAAAAAATGTTAACAACAACAGACAAATTGTGTTGGAAACATTTTTACCAACAGAAAACAATGGTAACAACAATAGACACAAATTTTGTAGGAAACATTTTTTACAAACAGAAAACAATGTTAACAACAACTGACACAGATTGTGTAGGAAACATTTTTTTACCAACAGAAAACAGAAACCACCATTGGCTAACAAGCCCATAGCACAGCCCTATCCTTTCTTTGCTTTAAAAAACTAAAAGGAAAAAAATGTTCTCTCATCCTAGTTCTGTTAGATCCAAATAAAACAAAAAACTTGACATGTTTAAAATGGAATGTAGCATCAAACTGTTTAGCACTTATACTAAACTATACAATGATATAAATATAAAAGTCAAACATGTCAGACAATTTGGAAGCAATAGGTGACTGGATCTAAATATATAACAATCTACAAACTCCAGCACTAGTAAGGTCACTGCCACTAAGAGGCTCTAAGACTCCAACACAAGAAATCAGTGCATATAAACAACCAACATTACAAATAGAAATAACAGATGCTCACATATTGACAACCACAAGAAATCAGTGCATCAAAAAATTAGCATTACAAGCAGAACAACAGATGTATATTAAAATCCTGTTCTCTTGCTGTTCAAAATGGTAGTTAAAAAATAAATCAATTATTGGGCTACATACTTTTCCAGTGGAAAAAAGATATGTACTTTTACACAGTATTAAGATGTACATATTAAAAATATCTATCCAGGCCTTGTGAATGTAAATATGAACGAAATAAATAAAATATAAAACCCGCGCCCACAAATTACCTGAAAAATAGTCTTGTAATGAGGTAAAAAAAAAATTTATAATTAAATTTAAATAATACCTCTACAAATAAAATGCATCCAAGTACGATATGATATTTAAATGAAGTTTAAACGGACTGAGGTGTTTCTATTCTTAATGTCAAAAATCTTATTCATAAAATGTGTTAGTTAACTATTTACATGCATAATAATTCCACAACCTTTGAAATGACAACAGAAAAAATTGCAAATGTAACAATACATGATTGTTATTTGAAACTATTTTGTGTAAACTAGACATCCTGAATCAGAAAATTTTAACTTTAGTCTCTGAAATTTCTGAAACTGGTTTAAGGATGTGGTTTAAAAAAATACCCAATGATTTATCTAACATATTTGAACATATCAAATGCAATTTAAACTGTTGTGGGGTACAATTCTTCAGAAATAAATATTTGTCCTTAAATAAGGAATTGTAAAATTAACATTTTATATTATAAGGAAAAGTAAAGATTCACAGAAACTAATAGAAATTTCTACTCAAAGATCAAAAGTGAAAAAATCACCAAGGTAAAAGTAAATTGCATTCAATTAGCATATCATATCTAAAGAATATACTGCATTTAAAATTGTATCTATAATATTCATCACATTGTATTTGATTACTGTATTTATATTAAAATAGAAATGAAGTCAATTACAAACATGCTACAGGAAGCTTCAAAGTCATACAATCATCACATCCTCACATTGAACCCAATCATCACATCCTCACATTGAACCCAATCATCACATCCTCACATTGAACCCAATCATCATACGCAGCAACTTGAGTTAACAGGCAGCTGGGGTGCTCATGGTAAACATGTATTCACACAACTCTGACTCACTCACTCGTAAAAGTTTTTCCTCTAAACCGCAAAGTAAATAAATCTGAAAAACATACAATAAATGGTTATATTGATCAGCTTAATTATTATTTTAACTTATTAAAAATTAGATAATTTCAATCTAAAAGTTAGTAACACCATTTTTTAGTCTATTTTTACCTTTGATTTTCGCCCTCTACCAAATGGACAGAGAGAATTATCCCCTTGATCCATGATTAAAACATGTTGACCTTTGTCCAGCAGCAAGGTGGATGTACGTCCTAAGATGACAGGTGAATGGGGAGGTGACTGCTGGCTCACTTTAACAAAAGGACAAACATCATACTCATAGGAACCTTCTTTCAGCTGGAAGCACTGTTTGCTAAGTGGATAAAAAACTCCACCAGGACCAAACATCTGAAATAAATAACAAATTTTTGTTTAAATTCAATTCAAATATTTTCTATCTTTTTACAAGCACAATATTCTGTGAAGCGTAGGAAAAAGTTTTAAAGCTTACTTTTCTATCCTTCTCAATTAGTTCGTTAGAGGCTTTCTCCAAATATTTTTGCTGCATTATCTTTCCTCTAGCCCTAACAACAGCTTCATTATTTCGTACAGCAATAATTTCTTCACATCTGTCAGAACAGGGGGCATGATACACAGAGCCAAGTGGTTCTCCTTCTAATTAGGATAAAATGTTGGAATTATTCTGACAGCAGAATCAGTTCATGTGTTCACTGTGTCTAGGGCATAAACCCCCCCCCCCTCTCCCCAGTCAATGTGGTGGCATAGTATGGAATAAACTCGACTTAAGGGTGAATTTTTAATAGACTAGGTGGGTAACGTCCTATTCTAGTTCTTTTTAGTGTAATATAAGAGGAGAGTGAAATGACCAGGGGTCATTGACAGGGAGGAAAATGTCCTCCCATGTTGATTTTGTATAGTTTAAAACTTAGTGTCCTCAGATGCTTTCATTTTTTTAAAAAAGGCCAAAAGTTCTAACAGGTAGGAATTAAGTATCAAAACATTTTTTTAAATGTTATTTTCAAACTAGTCATTTCAAATGATAAAGAGCTTTAATCTTTAGCAGTTTAACTACAAGCACCAAACATTTGCTAAACAAAATGAATGTGCTATTTACTTTTTTACCGTACTGGTCTAAAATAAAATAATATTTTTTGATGGATGTTATCAGTGCTTATCACAATGACATAGTCACTTTTTGCAATGTTATCTTAAACTATGTCCTAGCTATTACACATAGCAATTACTTTTAGTTCAAGTAATTTATCTCAGTAACTGCATGTATTTTGTCAGATAAAAGTTTGTTCTTTGTGTTAGTACTAATAAATTCTATTAGTTGATTGATCAAAAAACAAAAAAAGGTTGGAGAAGGTATAAAATATTACCCATCAACCAACATAACAGAAAAAACTTTTATTCAAAACTTTTTGCTATTTTTTCAGAAAAAAAAAATAACTTATGCTGGAGATGTTTTAGTTTGCACCCACCATTTATTTTCATAAAATCTGGTACTACGGCCCCGCTCCATTCATCACTCCCATCACAGCAATCACAAATGCCATCATTTACTTTACTTGATCCAATATACTGATGTGTAGAGCCATCAAGCTGCCTTGTGCAGTAAAATCTAGTGTTAAATAAAATACTATAATCACTGTTCAATGATTAAAGCAGTTTAAATCATGTAACTGAGTAATTCTGGTAGCCCAAGTTAAGCCATGTTACACTATATACAGACATTAACTTTATCGTTAGCCCAAGCAGTGATTCTCAAAACAATATACAAACTCTGTATTAAGCTAACAAACTTTTTACTATGAAAAGTTAATTTATTTAATAGTAGTTAACATTATGCAGGTACATTAAAAAATGCTAAGTTTAAAAAGGCTTGGTCACTAGCTTGTGATTACCTCCCATACTGACAGGCAGATGTTCCTGGCTCATCACTTGAGTCAGGACAGTCACAAAAATCATCATTCACTTGCTCAAATGGAATCTTCATCTTATTGATAAGTGAAGAAACAAAAAAAATACTGCTGTTTAATACTTCCATTGCTAACTTAATAATAAACTGTCAATTTATTAGATTGTATGTTAATTAAAAAATGAATTCAATATAGAAAATAATAATAATAAAAGTTCAAAATCTAACAAACACTCTATATTTTATTTTTACATTTTTTAAAAATTGCAGCACTTTGGAATTTTAAACAGCAAAAAAAGGTTAAATTATCCAACAAATGTATAATGCTTAATTCAATTGTTTTTTCTTTCAATATGTTTTGCTTTCAGCATAATATTCCAAAATGGATTCTTTAATAATTAATGCTGAGAAAGTGATGTAGTTAGGTTTATGGCCTTCTCATCAAATATAAACATTGTATTAATAAAGGGAAACAAGTATTAGTTAAAGACAGCTCTAGGTTTTCTCACCACAGAACTAAAGTGTTTTAATCTAAAGGTTGAGTAGTTGAGCAATTATATGCTGAATTCACTGGTGAAAACTGTAAGGGAATCAAACTAATAGTCTAAGTCTCTGACCAATGATATTTTTTATTGTTAATTCTTCAAATATGTGCTCCTAAAATCTTTCAAATTTACTGATAATCTTTATAACCAGCTGCCTCAATCCTTAAATAATATCTTAGAAACCTCACATTTTCTGCTCAAGCATTTAACAGCTAGAGGTGCAAAGCAGTTCTTTTAGTCAAATATATACTATTTTTTTTTAACCTATAACTTACAGCACGGGTTCCCAACCTGGGGGTCGCGACCCCCCTGGGGGTCGCGAAGGGCTTTCTGGGGGGTCGTCAAATGGTATATTAAACCTTATTAATGAAAAACAAAACATTAATATTTAGAAGAATATCTAAAATTCGGCTTTACAAACATCACTGGAAATGGAATAGAGAAGAAGCAATGGGTACTGTATAAAGTTGTTCTCAGTCACGAGTTTATGAAATCTTCAAAACTAAAACGTCATTTGAGACAAGTCATTCTGAACACACTAAAAAGATATGGAGTTCTTTCGTCGGCATGAAGCTAGTTGCAAACGTCAGAGACTTGATCGAACAGGAAGTTTTCACACAGCATTAGTGCAGGCATCAAATGAAGTAGTGATAGAAAATGTCAAGCAAAAAATATAAAAAAAAACACAGTAGGAGAAAATCTCATCAAACGCTGCATGTTGAAGATGGTGAAGTTAATTCTTAGGGATTCCAGCGCAATAAAAATGCAACACATATCTCTGCCTAATAATATTATTCAGCGGCTTATAGCAAACATGTCCGTAGATGTTAAAGAACAAATTTTTAATGAAATCAAGCATTCACCATTGTTTGCTTTTCAATTTGATAAATCAACAGACGTGAATTCGTGTTCGAAGTTGCTGGTCTTTGTCTGTATTCATTCAGATGATAGCAAAGAAGAGTTGCTATTTTGTGAAGATAGCGTGGAGAAAATAAATACTTTTTTTTAATTTGATGACTAAAATGGGTTAAAACGGCTGTGGGGGTTTGTACAGATGGTGCACCATCTGTTTTGGTCAAAATCGGGCTTTCAGAAAACAGAAAAGATATAGCTTCCTAACCACTGTATGATTCACCAGTATGCCTTTTGCATCAAGACTCCATTGCTAGTAAAAGTCGTACATTATATTAAGTCTGGAACCTTCAAAAAGCTGAGCAAAGACATTAATATAGATCACAAAGTTCTGCTTTTCTACACTGGCTGTCAAATAAATTGTTGTGAATCGTGTTTTTGAATTGAAATTTGAAATCAAATTGTTCTTGGAAGTGCAAAGGAAACACGACCTTTTGGTATACTTAAAACGAGAGATACATTCGAACATCAACATCAGCTTAACCTGAAGCTTCAGGGAAAATGAGCGAATATTATCACTTTCCATAATAATCTCGGGGCATTTTTATCAAAGCTGCAGAATTGGCGAAGAAAATAAATCTTGGAAATATTGTAAATTTAAGAAACTCTGCAGTGTGGTAGATGAATCGGATTGTGAGATAATTAAAATTTTGAAAGAAGCGATTTATGGGCATCTGGAATAATTGAAAACGAACTGCGGCGCCATTTATCTGAGTACAAATAAGAAGAATCTGCATTGACGCATGTCACATTCCCTTCTTCCCTTGATGTTGCCAGTATTCCCGATGAATTACAAGATGAATTATTTGATTTGCAGAATGATTCCGCGTAAGATGAAAAACTGCACACACAATTTTGGTGTAGTATTCACCATTCATACCCAAACGTATTTTCAAGAATAGATGTTCAACACTATTCTCCGATTAAAAACAAAATTAAGAAATACATTTAATGTTGATAATGGCATAGGTTGGCGTTAACAATAACTTATTAACCGCGAATGTTTAGTAAATAGAATGCAATTTTACTCATCGTATTGAAGCAGTTATCAAGAGTAGTTCGTATTGAATGTCTTCTAGAAAATCTTATTTTAGTCCTTATTAATGTCCATACTAATTTCGGCTTTTAATTAATGGGGGTCGCGGGTCACGTAATTTTTATAAAAGGGGGTCGCCACTCGAAAAAGGTTGGGAACCACTGACTTACAGGATCTGTTATGGGTGATGAAGTAAAAAAGTAAGTTATTCCTTACATTATATATTTACCATGTTAGAAATCATCCATGTTATTAAAGGACATTGATAAGCTATGACACAGTGTTAATTTGAATGAAGTTCCACTTACTTGTGGTAAGGTAAGACATGTAAACAATTTATTGCTATCAGGTTTATAAAGATGCTGCTCTGAAGCATGCACTCCTAGCACATCAGGATTGAACTGTTTCACTAAGGAATACTTTGTTTCATTTGAATGTGGGTGATTTTGTTCCCTATGTTGAAGAATGTTTGGCTGGTATTTTTCTTTTCTATTGTTTGTTAAATTTGTAATTTGCTTGTCTTTGCTATTATCCAGAACTTTTAAAGCAACATTGTTCAAGTCATTTTTTAACTGCTTATCTTTATGTGCAGCAGCATCTTTTGATTTAGCTTTTTGTAAATCAAAGGTATCACTTTGAAGTCCCATCTGGAATTTGGTATCAACATCTACAACTCTATTGCGACCTTTATAAACATCAATATAATTGTCCTCGATTTCTTGTTCATTGCCTAAATGAAAACCTCGTACACCAACTCCTATATTTTTCACAACATCATCTTCAGTCCATCTGCTGGATTTCTTATTAGACAACTGATTTAGTTTTGAAACAGTAAAGCACTGAAGCAGATAGAACAAAATTGCCACAACAGCCAGCAGGCCTAAAGTTTTATATTTTCTTCGAAAAAGAGCAGTCATGATTTCCAGAATCTATTATTCTTTCTACTACATTTGAAAAAATTAATTCAACCCATGTCAAAATATGCAGAATTTTTTCTTCTTTAGGATAAACGAAATCCTCCTGAAAAGTAAAAACAAAATTTTGTAGGAATTAGCCTACTAGTGCCATTGATAAAAAATGTTAGGCATTGTTTATCACAAAGTGCACTGTTTGACTTTGAGTATTGAATAGGCCTACAATTTAATTCAATTTATACATCAACAATATTTTTCCTTTAGCCTTTAAAAAGTTTAGGGGTTAGCCACTTTTTATTTTATAAAGTCCGACTATGCCTACTAGTACTAATAAAACGATGGATTACCAAAACGGCAACTAGATTTTCTAGATCTAGATTCTAGATTCAGGGCTGATATGGTAGTGACAGTGGGTAGGTAGTGATTCTAGATCTCTAGATCTAGATCTAGAAATTCTAGATCTAGATTCTTGATCTAGAATCTAGAATTCTAGATCTGTCAACAAGAATACTTTACTCGAATAACTAAATAAAAAATATCGACAAATTTTTAGTAGCCAAATTTATAAATATAATTTAAATAGTTAAAGGACACAGCCCACAGCGACAACACTAGTTATAACTTACAAAGCCTAAAGTTACACTAAAGTATATTCTATGCAACTTACGACGTTGTAAACAAATGGGGGCAGCCATTTTAAAACACGATTTTTGTAAATAGTAGATCTAGATCTAGATGTAGATCTAGAAGTCTAAAGTACAGAGAACAATATTTAATATTTAAATTACAGATAGGCCTAGGTCTTGATTAACTGATTATATTTTAAATGGCTGAAATGTGTAAGAGTATACGTGTATTATACACAGTCGTATATATTTTCTACATTGATTGTTTAACAGGAATTTAAATTTTAAATACTCATGGCATTAATAGGGCCAGTGAAAAAGCACTCCCCCACTTTCCCAAAATCGGTGTGTTTGTGTGTGTGTGTGGGGGGGGGGGGGGGGTGTTCATTGTAAGTTTATTATTGAATTCTTCAAAAAAGAAAAACCACTCTCCCCCCCCCCCCCACCTGTTTTAAACCACTTGCAGAGAGCATGTTATGTCATTTGTGATCATCACGGTCCAGCAGGTCAGAGAAGAATCATATGGTCCAGCACAGAGGCGTAGCGACCCTTCCCGACGCCAACGGACAAACTTTACGATTTGCACCCCCCCTCAAACTTTCGATTTGCACCCCCCCCCTCAAGATTTCGATTTGCACCCCCCCCCCTTCAAACTTTCGATTTGCACCCCCCTCGACCCTCGACCTTTCAATATTTATTTTTCCAACCCATTTTGGCGCCCCCTAAGGTCGGCGCCCGGGGACATATGTCCCCCCCCCCCTCTCGCTACGCTACTGGTCCAGCAGGTCATAGAAGAATCAGTACCATTAATACTTGTGTGATCACCATTAAATCCTTCTGGATGTAACATTTTACTCTTTTAACTACAAGACTATGAAAATTATTTTATTATATTTTTGTTAAATATATAGGCTTATATCATAACATCAAGGGACTGAAATTATTAATAGTTATGAGATATAAGCTAAATATTTAAGTTTCTGAGTCACAATTTTTTATTATATAAACGTTTGTCTTTAGTAGAAAGCCCTAAGTAGGATCAAATTTTAAATGAATTTATGTTCATATAGTGGAATACATACAGGGGTTGATCTGCTGAACAAAAAACAACACCATAATAAATGTAATGTAATATGTTTATGAATGTATTAGCCTTATACTATACTACTTGCATTTGAATTAATTAATTTAATTTTCTAGTTAAATTAGTTTTCTATAATTTTATATCAATGATATTTAATAATTATCAGTATTGTTAAATAATGTAAGAGACCCAAGACCAGATCTACTAACTTTCAAAGATAACAATTTTTTAAGGTTTGAGAATTTCAGTTTTTATTTGTATCAATTCATTACAAATGAAAACAAATAAAAAAATAGTTTGATTTTTTCAGTTACATTGCATGATTGTTTCGATAATAATTTATGTAAAATTAACCATGTAGCAATATTCAAAATAATAATAATTTGAATGTGTGAACTTGATTTTTAAATAATAAATTTCTCCTATAATAACTAACAACCAGTACACCACAAAAATGGATAAGAAACTTTTTAACAACAGTATAAACTCATGTTTTTCTCAGGTATTGAGAAAGTAGAAAGTTTATAATACCTCTTCATTAAATATTGTGTTGTATATTTTCACAATTCACAATCCTATTATCACCAGCAACAAGGAACCATAGTTACAGCCCAACTTGATGGCAAATGGAATAATTCAATGCCTTTAGAAAGTATAAATAAACAGCAAAATACATAAGTATTAAGGCACTCATCAGCTGTAGGCTTATTAGCAATACTACCACAAACTGTGCATCCAATAATAACCTGAGACCACATTCATTAGGAATAAATTACATGTGGACTGGAGAAAAATTTTGTCATACACATACAAAATAATGTACAATTTTTCTATTCAATTAAATGGACCTTTTTTAAAAAAAAAATACAAAAGTAGCAAGCATTTATAACTTTTGAAAGAATTCACAATGGTAGTATTTATTATGTGGTTTAAATCTATCTGTTTATTATTGTCTCGGTTTTTAGAACAACAAACTATTATGTATTCTACTTTGCTATTATGCAAATGCCCATTTTAACGGATTATATGTAAATGTCATTTAGTTAAGAAGTTACTTAAAACAAATGTAGAAAAGTTTATTTAAAATTTGCAGCACTTTTTATGTTTTACAAGTTCTTTGAGTACATTTAACAGACAACAGTCCTTTTAATCAAAAGGATTGTCTATTCAATAACAGCACATCATTTCACTGTAAATCTGGAAGAAATTTATCTTGCACATTTTAATTTGAATACATTAATTGAATTGAAATAAAAATCTTAAATAAGACAAAAATCACCATTTGGTTAACAAGTGACCCTGTACATTGTTAGGTTATATTTTACTGTTAAATAACAAAAGCAAAACAAGTAATGATGTAAAATGAAATCACAACCATATCACTGAATGATTAACTAGTGAACAAAAAGAATTGTGATCATAGTAATATTCATAGTGGGGTTTTAAAAACCCAAAGATGATATCACAACATCAATGATTGCTTAAATACTGAAATTTGTGTTGTTTTGCTTTGATAAACAAAAATAAAAGAGGGATGCTAATTTATACTAATCAATGTATCAGCAACTTAAACAGAGATGGCTAATGGTCAGCCATTTGGTTAGGAATCACAAAGACTTAAAGGAAAACAAAACATGATTAGGGGAAAAAATGAAAAAATATTGTGAAAATATATGCTACTCTTCTGTAAAATATAAATACACAAATATTTTTCAAAAAGTTTTAACATATTTAGAGTTAGAGAATAGCTGCGATTTTACACAGTATTTCATTTCAATAGGAAATTTTATTACATACAATTCTAATATACCAAAACAAAGTAGTCAATTTATTCACGCTATTACATTTATAAAATATTTCTTAATAAATATTAAATGCATTCAAATAAAAAGCAAATTAATCCCAGAAAACGATTATTACAATAAGCAAAGTAATTAATCTAGATAAACTGTTAACATTAAAACATGTAACAATGATACAATTTTATAAATGAATATCATTTTTTGTGAATGATGAGTTCGCAAAAAAATTGTTTTTTTACTAGTATATAACCTAATTGACTAAACAAAGTCTTAAAACAATGCACATACTAAACAGTTTTAATATTGCCATAGATCTACCATTCAAATTAGGTTGCAGCATCTGGTCAATTGTCTTTAAAATGCAGAAAAATCTTAATATGTATTAATTAAAATATTTTAATAATAAATTGACATCATAAATGTTATGGCATGCTTGTGAAAAGGAAAATGATGTAGAACTAGTGTGTCAATACAAAAATAAAACAGCAAGACAAATACAAAGAGTAGGCTTTCTTAATCTATGGTACTTTGTTTCTGATTTAAAAGAAAATGGAGCTATAGCACGTTGGTAATGTGTTAACTATAAGTAATTAGTAATTCAAAAAGCAATCAGAAGGTAATAATACCTCAGTGAGTTCTCAGGTACCAAATCATTCAAGACATCTTGAACACCCATAAAATAACTATTTTATAGCTAGATAAAGGTTAAGTGCATAAAAATAATTTTAAAAACTTTTCCAATAAACACTTCCAATGAAGTAGCACTTTATCGTGCTAATTGAAAAATAGATCAAATACATAACATGGCTTTAAAAACATCTATTTTATTCCTGGTTATATTCAATGAATTCATTTTGCAGCAATGATTTTTCTTGAATAAAAAAGGTTATTGTAATAAACTTTTTTTTTAAATCATTTTTAAAAATTATATAAAAACAAATATAAAATACATGGTTCTTAATCTGTAAATCAACTAATGTTGAAGGTTAAAAAACTAAAAAGTACAACAAATTGGGCTGTTTAATGTTTAAACATGGCTCTTAAAATAAATCAACAGAAACAACACAATGTAACAGCAATTAAATTACTTCAACATATTAGAGTCTGGTGGACTCTGTACGGATAGAAACAGAACTTGCTTCACAATTGATGGGGCACAAGTCTTTAGTAAATGCAACACTAGTTTCAACCCACTTTTCTGTAGACAATTTGTCAGCTAGAGGAATCTGTGAGACAGTAAGGGGACTGGATGCAGTTGTTGCACCTATTGTGCCCTTTGAATCATCTAGTTTCACATGTAAATTACTTTTGTCACAGTTACATGGAGATAACTGTTCATCACTGCACTGTGTAGCTTCTACCTGGTTGTCTTGATTAGCTATGCAACCATTGGACGACTTAACAGAAAGATTTGAGCTCCTTCTTGGTAGGCTCTTGACTTGGGATAGGGGAGGAAATTCTTCACTGTCTAAAATAGCAGGTGCTACAGATTCTTGTACTTGCCATAGGGAGGTTGAACCAGTGGATGGACTGGAGAATCTAGCAGTTAATATTTTATGACATTTTGATGATGAACTGAGAGACTGCGATAGGCTGGCAGTTGGTGACTGCTTTTCATTCAGATTCCACTGCATAAATTTGTTGTCATTGGTTGCTTCCACAGTAGCAGGACTTGATGCCACTCTGTCTAATGGCTTCTTAGATTTCATTTCCATTATTGAAGGAAAATCTAAGGGAGAAACTAGAGAGACTCCAGTCTTTGGAAGTGTCCAAGAGGGTGACACAAGTAAAGAAGCTGATTCAGAGGTATTTGTCCACTTATGTTTAGCATATGCACTTCTCATTGTTTTTTGATGAAAATCCAAATTTTTTGGAGGGCTGAATCTTTGGTGTTTACCTCTACCAAAAACTGCATTTGGATTTTTTGAGGCAATTAATAATGAAGGCTTTAGTTCTTCAATATATGATATGGGATTTTTGGCAATATTATTATTATCACCAGTAGATATCACATTTATATGTTGTTCAAACCCTGTTAATTTTGTCTCAACTGATCTTATACAACTGTCAAGAACTGGGCCACCTTTGTCAGTTGAACTGTCTTGCAATGCCTTAGTCCCCCTAGCAGTGACACAATTATCATAGCCACCACCTTCTTTCAGCAGATCAGCATAGACTTTCTCTCCAGGATTTGTCTCCACTAAACCTTCACAGCTTTCTGTCTTGCTAGCTTGACGTGACATGCTTTCAGTTGAAGAAAACCCAGCTTCACTAGCTACTTCATTAGACTGTTGTTCTTTTTCCAGATATTTCTGAGTGAATTAAAAAATTTTAAATATGATATACTTTTAAAATAAAATTTGTTTATCTAAAAAGTTAGACATTTTAAAGTATTGAAGTAAAAATATAATACATTTTGAAGTTTGGATGTTAAAAAACTATGAAATACAAATTTAAGTAATTGATTTTCTTCAAAAAATGTTTATTGTACAGTATTTTTAATCTGATGATATATAATATTGTTACTACTAGTGTTGATGAGGTAATTGGTGCTATACAAGATCAATAGTTCATTAACCAACTCCTCTGTTCTTTATTTGTATTACTATTTCTTTGTGATTGTCTAGTTATGGGTATAAAAAAAAATACTTCAGTTAGATAGGCATTATTGACAAGAAATTTTCAGTATTTGAAAAGAGATTCTGACCCAACCAGTATTTGAACAAGAAATTTTAGTCAAAATGTGTTTAATTTGATCCAAATTGTAAAATATACCTTTTTAGCAATCAATTTTTGCAGTGAATCAGGCACATCTGATATTGTAGATGGTGCATTTAAATTTAATTCCATAAACTGTTCTAATACTTGTGCTGTGTGAGTAATATTTTTAGCCTGTATAAAGGATAAGAAATTATTAAAATGAACAAAAATAAAAGTAATTAAAGATAGATATGACCTTTTGAATTTTAACTACAATATAAAATATAATAAGATCATATAAAACTACTAAAAGAAAGATATTTGGCATTACATTGTTTAGGCATAGAAATATCTTAATGACAAAAGCATTTCAAGAGTATAGAAATATAAATAAATCAATAATTATTACAAAACGCAGATTTCTATAGTAATAAAAAAATATTATAGATATACAATACCCAAGACTGTTTACGGGATCTGCGATTTTTTTTTAACAATCTTTTAGGTCCTCCTGTGTAATCTACTCCCTGAGTTTCTCCATTTTTCTTTAACACAACATACTGACTATCTATAGGTTCTTCAATGGTCTCTGGCTCATCTAAAAGCAAAATGTATTTTAATAGCAGCTGTTAGATGGATTGTCTCGTTAGGCAGGAGAGCATTTGATTACCAACTTTATATGTCCTGAGTTCCAACCCCAGGGCAAATTAAGCTGTTATCTGAGGTCAGCAACCATCTAGGAAAAAAGTTCTAAAATCAAACAACTTCTGCCTTGCAGATTGTTCCTGGGTGAACAAGGGCTATGGAAGCAAATCCAGAAAGAAAAGTAGGCTGAAGTTTTATGGTGCATTAAATGTTGACACATAACAGTTGTGTTGGAAGGAATCTTTTTTAATATATTACAGAAAGAAGAAGGAGCAGCTGTCAGGTTTAATATGTCCCTGATAAGTTCTAAAGAAAACACTTCTTCATAATCTTGAAAGAACTAAATAGGATAGCATTCCATTTGCCCTGGCTAACAAATAAAATGCAACATTAGCTAACTAAATGCATCAGTGAAGCTTCTAACAGGGCTGCCTACTTCCAAAAGAAATGTTTCAGGAGTTTTTAAAAAGGTATGGGATGGCATGGCCAGGTGGTGGAATGCACAACTGATAACCTAAAAGTGCTGAGTTCAGGAGGTTGTTGGAGATCCTGAATTAACACAGCTCAGGAAAGTAAAAGCAGCTCAGCATAAAATATGGAAATCACAGTAAAAAAAAAAACTGCATGTTACATCTCTTTATAAACAATTTTAGGTCTCTACTGTAATTGTATAATGCTCACAAGGACATATGTTAAATTAAATGACAGCAGTTAATTTTTTAAGTGTTTCTAGAAAATTGTATTTGCTGAAGACAATCTGAGTGGCAACATCATTTGTAAGGTGATGTAAAGAATAATTTTAATTAAATAAGCATTGTTGTAAATTTATGTGTTAATAACATTTAACAGATGTGCCTTTTCTAATTAATAAAAATAAATGTTAAAAGCAAATTTAAAAATTTGAAACAATTAAGGTCTAATAGTCTCTTTTGTCAGATTACTTATTTGTTGTTTATTTATTCACAACAATATAGTCTTATAGCAGGGGTCATAGTTTCAGACCAAAAATTTTTCCTAATAGATGTCCCATTTCTATGGTAAAAACAAAAAATTGGAAACCCACAACTTACCCAGACTAGATGAAGGAGAGTGGGAGTCCACAGACACATCCTGAACTGGTGAGTTGTAGTAGCGGTTCAAATAATTTATTAATGTCTGACATAACTGAAGCTCCTTTACAAGTTGTAAATATTCATCGTCAAATTCAGCCCTAAAATGTTTAAATATTATTTGTTACAGAAAATTAAACTAGATCTTGTATTATTTTAAAACAATGTTGAAATTAGAAAACCAGAGAGTACAATAATTAGTTTAATATCTTTTTTTATTAACTGTAACAAAGTCAACTAAAACCTTTAACATTTAAAAAATGTAGCAAGTACTTAAAAGATTGAGAAAGTAATAAATTGTCCTATTTTGCAACAGACAGTCCCAAATACTTGTGTTTACACTGTTGAATTTGCTTTCTAAACTATCAGCATTATATTGTGCAGTCAAACTGTTTGAAACCAGTTTGAATATGATACCTCCAAAAAGTAAACACAAGCATGGCAACAAAAAACTCAACATTGATTAACGTTGATATCAAATCATCCAAAAGATGCCTCACTTGTCTAGGGTTAACTAGGTCAACAGAAAAAAGAAACCAAAGCACTTCTCCAACATTTTAGAAATGTTGAAAAATATCAAAAATATCAAAAATTATTAACTGGAGATTTTTTTTCAGATGGAAAAAAATCAAACCTAACTATATATACAGGGTTGCCTACCCAAAAATATGTTTCTGTAACTAACATCACTTTCAATTCCCTTCAATCAGAAACCTTTTGAGAAGTAATAACCCTTTTCTAAACACATTTTTTATGTGTTTACAAGAGATGATTTTTATAGAAAAAATCTGTAACTGTTACAAGTGCAACATCCTAACATGGGTGTTTACAAAATTTAATTATGGAGATTATTATACAAGAAGCCAGCCCTGTATATACAATCACATATATCTGCTTCTTCAAATTTATTAGACAAATACTGTGGTCAACTCTTCATTAATCAATCAGATAAGATTTTATTTTCATGTTCACACATCAAAAGAATAACTTACTCTTCTTTCTTTCTTTCCTCTTTTCTTCTCCAGCTTTCCCGCCTTTGCCTATCTCTTATTCCTTGAAATTCTTCTCTTTGTTTCTTAAAGCTACCTACAACTTGCCGTTTCTTTTCATATAACTGATCAATATCTGTAATTTTATAATTAGAAAAGTAAATGTTCTCAGATATATACACATAATTTACAATAAAAGTACCCCTTCTGACTTTGTAGTCAACAAGGCATTACATTGTTATTTTATAATTAAGACCAAGGCCAATGGAATTCATCATTAATGTTTAAACTAGAAGATGCCAATATTTTTTTGTGGGTGTATTTGGATAAAATTATTAGTACACTCTGTGTACAACCTGTTGGAAAGGCAAGATGAGAAAGTTGTCAAATCGTTTGTTTACAAGCATATAGCCTACCTTTTTTCAATTCAGTTAATGATGTTTTGTCCAAAGAAAAATCTTGTTTTAATTTCTCTTCTTTTTTTTTCAAGTTTGTAACTGCCCTAAAATAAGTCTGTAAAATAAATATACATAAATTTTTAAAAACCAAACGGTGCCATATTACATCTAACCAAATGACATGAACATATGTGATTCTCTCTCCAATGGCTGTAACTGCTTAGTTGTCTAAATGCTTAACAGTACTTCAACCTGTTGTGAGCGCACCTCTAGTCTACACCTCCAATTTGATCCTTTAATCACTTGACTAACATAAATGTGGTCACAACTCTAATTCATTTTGCACACACAAAATGTTAATTTGTAACCAAATGTAGTAATTATTAATGAAAAAATTACGATTGTGACTATTTTCACCTTACTTTGTACTGTCACACAATTATTAGAGAGCAAAATGAACTAATTTAGAGATCAAGTTCAGGCTAGGATAACAAGAATAGAAAAATAGAATTTGATGTGTGGACTATTAAAGGATAGTTATTTAAACTCCTTTTTACTTAATTACTTTGACTAAATATCTTGGCAAAAAATGCCTGTCCCAAAAAAATCAAAAAGAAAATTAAGACATACATCTCTTTCTTCTCTCATTCGACGTTGTCTATCTCTAATGCCCGAAATTTCTTGCTTTAATGTCAGATATTGCCTGTTGACACATAATGAAAAATAGAAATCATGTAACTTAAATTATGTTGTTGTTATATAAATATGAAAGTGTGAGCTTCTGTAACTTAAGAAAGAATGTTTGTTCTTAAATATTGTTTTTAAATCTGTTAAGATTGACATTATGTTCCCTAAATAATTACTAAAATGTATTTTTACTTTTAATAAAATACATATTAATCTTATTAATAAAATTTAAAAAAGGGATAATCATACACCAATGTTTTTTTGGATCTTTTTAGGCGGTCTATCTCTGAGACAATCTTTTTCTCTTCATGCAATTTAAAATGCTGCACTTGAAGATTCCATTCCAGCTTTCTAGAAAAATGAAGTAAATTTCAATTGTAAATAATAATTGAAAATAATTTGATTAAACAGTTTAAAGATTGAAGAGTGAACAACCAAAAACGGGACAACCCCTATCATGCAAGGCAACAAAAGTCTTTACTTACTGGATGGCTGAGTGTATTTTTTCTTCATTTTTATAGATGAGAGATGACTCTAGTTGGTTCAACTGCCTCATCTTTTAAAAGAAAACATCCCTTTCAGATAACATTTATTAGTAGCTTAAGTACTTTTTACATTTAGCAACATTACAAACCTAAAAATTACCTTTTCTGGTACATCTTTATTTAGCCTCTCCAAGTCTGCATCAATCTGTGCTCTTTTCTCTATGGTAGCATTCTTCTCTGCTTTTAATGCTTTCAGTTCATCTTTGATTTGAGGAATGGTTATGTTTTTCTTGTATTAATCAAGGAGGATAAAAAGACAATAGCCTTTGGATTTTAACAAAACCAAGCTAACATGGTAATGAAACTAAATGCCATTTCTTGATGAAACAAATGTATGACTTTTCATCTGAATAAAGAAGTGTTTAATTTAAATTTAAATAATTTATAAAGGATACTATAGATTCCATTTTTAGTTCATTGTCTTTTATACTGCTCAATAACATTTCAATTTCTTCATCATATTTTTTTCTGTTTGGGGATAAAATTCTCTTAAGATCTGAAAAAAAAAAAAAGCTGTGTTTAATTACATTTCTATTAACATTGTTCTTGATATCCTGTAGGTAGAAATTTGCCTATTTTATTAGGTTCTGTAGCTGGCACGTCTTCATAGTTTTATTTCACTAAAATATATATCAAATTGTAGTAGGTAAGCCCAAGACTATATCCTAAATTCTTTAAGTTAAAGCATTGCCCCCATCTGTCAAATCCCTTCCCTCATAATTATCCCCCAAACCATTAATCCCAATAGATTACCCCCCCCCCCCCTCCCAACTTTTAGAATGAATACTGATTATATGTGATTATATGTGGTTTCAGTAAAGGTCAAAACCCTGGATTCTACAGGACGGTATGACTGTCAGAATACAAAAAAAATTATATTTATTACTCTAGCTAGGCATTTGCTGGCTTTCACCCTAACATTACCTATAGATACTAGGATTACTTTAGGATTATTTTACATGGGGGGGGGGGGGGGGGGGGAGGGAATATTCTGGTCTATCTACCATGACAATAGATCCAAAAACAGCTTGATAGTCTTTAACAAAATAATGGACATTTTCAGTTTCCAGTTTCCCTTTGCCAGTAGGCACTGTTTCAGGCTGCTAAGCTAATAAGTGAAAGCTTGAAGCAGTTGGATTTAAACAAGAGAGAAAGAGAGAGTAGTGATAGTAGTAGCAGTACCAGTAGCTGCAACCTAAAAATTAATCTTGACTACAGATTATTTGGTGAGCGGGGGAAAAAACAGTAAAAAAAAGTCACATAAAAAAGATTTTATCTGAAATAAGTCACAGAAATAAAACACAGAAAAAAGTGACAAAAAGGTTTAAGTAATATGTTGATTTACTTGTTGAGTATTGTAAAACTGTGGGTGCTTCTAAATGTGGGTGATGCTGTTTTAGTAACATATTTGTAAACTTTAAAAGCATTAAGGTTTATAATATTACGAGCCGGCCTGCGGCATAACATACGCCGCTATTTAGTTGTTGTTTTTTCTACTTTTCAGTAATTCATAATTTGTGAATTCGACAGTACCAACGCTGCCACTGTAAATATTTCTTTAAAACACTATAAGTAGCTCGTTAAGGACCATACCCCCCCCCCCCCCCCCTACGTTTAAAATCGTTGGCTCTGCTTGTCAACATTTAGAGTGAACACAGCTCACTAAAACCATGTAGGGGTGGGGAGGTAGGCAGCGCGTTTGCAGCTTGTTTTCTAGCGGCTCCCAGAAAAGAATTATATATATAGATTTTATCTTAATATGTAATAAATATAATGAATTAATGTACGCTGTAGGCCTTTCCTCTAACTGCCTTGTCAGTCCACATTGTGCATTGTTAAAAATTGAGTCAATGACAACCTTTGTACCATGTCAGCTTTTTGTCTTGATTTTATGCTTTGTGATGTAATGAGTGTGATAAATGTGGGCAGTAAATGTGGTTGAACTGTTGCTGTTGAGGAAATCAAACCATATTGACAAAGTTAGAATTAAATAACACACTAGTAGATTGGAACATTTTATTACAGGATACTTAATTTTATGTAAATGTTATATGTATAAAGGAATTAAAACTTCAGACAAAATATTTTTACGTGTGTTATAAATAATACGACCTAAGCAGATTTATCTCAAATGATCACATTTAATTAACTCTATCTTGATTTGCACTTCCTGACTACTTAATACATAAAAGTATTAACAATTACACGCAAATACACACTTGTGACTTTTTCCCTACAATAGATTATTGTTGTACTTTATGACTTTTGTAGGAATAAATTTACAGGCCCAGTAGTGAGTACACGAATTGCAATTTAAAAGTCAAATTACCTTTCAAACCTGGCAGTCTATGGACCAGATGAAGTAGAGTTTACCTCTCTCTGTCACCTCTGCATATGAAGGGATAGTGTGGTCAGCACTATGCCCAGCATGAGTCGAGTAGGTTAACCCATGAGAACTGCGAGGACTCAATGTCAAATTATTGGCCTTGAACACAGTATCCAAACACAAGACTTAGCAGTCATGTGCTCTACCACTCCAGCATACTGCCACATACACATAATGACTAATCACTCACACTCAAAATTGAAATAATCAAATAGTGGCGTAACAACCATGTATCCAAAGTGGGCAAAGTCCATGGACCAAAGAGGTCCCAGGTCGCCCAAGCTGATTAAAAATAAATTGAGTCCTTGAAACAACTGTTGCTCTTTGAAAATTATTTCTTAAATTACTAGTCCTATATGACATATGTCTGGTCTAAAACTGGACCTTCTATAGCACCTTCTGTACAAGTACTAGACTAACTTGAAGATCTAATTCGGTGGTCTTATAGACTAGCGTAGCTAGAATCAGTAAATATATATGAATGAGGCCTATGATAAGTGAGTATATATATAGCCTATGGCAATGGGCTATACTTACGCTATCTTTCTATACTCTATTATACTGTAACTCTAATACTAGAGGTATTGACTATTGTTGTTATAGATCTAGACCAGGTACAGGTAGAAACTAGATCTAACTAGAACCTAGTCTAGGTCTTGCAGACTGTACTAGTGTACTACTAGCTAGTACTAGTACTTACTACTTGGCTACTACTAGCTCTAGCCTCTAGCTAAGCTAGACTCTACTCTAGCTAGACTCTACTCTAGCTAGACTCTGCTGCTAGACATTGCGACAAGCTAGTAGTACTAGTAGATCTAGTAGCTACTACTACTAGCTAGTAGCCAGCTAGAAGAGACTGACTAGGTCACTCTAGGTACTCTAAGAGTCTAAGCTAAGTTAGCCTAAGACTAAGTTAAGACTAGTTAGTTAAGAGTTAAAGAGTAGATTAAGACGTAAGAGTTTAGTTAAACTTTAGTAAGAACTTAAGAAGTAGATCTAAGAAGAATAGGCCCCCTAACAATAAACTAAAAGAAACAAAAAGAAAAAAAACTTGAATGTCTTCAGTCTTCAGTCACAAGTACAACACACCTTCTTCCGAGTAGCTTGAGCTTGTAACGCCAGTTACCTCTTCAGCCATTATACTTTCTTGCTCTTTATAGCTAAAGCTACGTGCATATATTGGGTGGGAGGTACATTTATCGTATGCTAACGAGGAAATAACGTATAAACATTTGTTTTCTTTTGTTAGCTTCAGTGACAAAACGGAAGATAGCTGCAGCCATTTTGTTAAAGTCACGTGACATAGTGCGTTAGAAGTAAACAAAAACTTGGTTACACAACAATCAACAAAGAGACATGGGATAACAGTAATGCATACATAGATCAAGATTCTAGATCTAGATCCAGTTGTTGTTTGTTTGTTGTTGTTTTTTTTTTCATGTGACCCGACTGAAAATAAAACTCAAATAATGAAGATTTGGTTAAAATGTTGAACCTACTAATTTAATAATAAAACTACACCTATAAAATTAAAAACCGGTTTGAATCGCTATCTGCTCCTTGGAAATATATGCTTTAAATCTTTATCCAGTGCAGAGTTTCTTCCAGGCATCTCTTCGGGGGGGGGGGGGGGGGAGGGGGGGGGGGGCCTAAGACAATTCTACTCCCCCCCCTCCCCCACGAACGAAATGAAATTTTGATAATTTATAGGCCTATAGAAAATATATACTTTTAACAGTGTCTGCCCCCCCCCCCCCCCGAAAATAGTCTACCGCCCCCCGAAAATTTCAAGTGCCCCCCCCCCCCCCCCAGAGAAAAAAGTCTGAAGAAACACTGATCCAGTGTCCGCCGCCCTTGGGAAATGTAAGTCCCCCCCCCCCTTCCCCCGCCGAAATTAATGTAAAAGAATCAATGGATATATAATACTAGCCGTCCCGGCCAGGCCCTGCTCTGGCTTCTGTGAAAAACCTTTCTGTTAAAGACCATTACCTGTGTGTTTAGTAATCATCATAAACCCGGCATTGCCCACCCAAACCACAACCAACCAAAACAACAAAACGCAAACATAACGCTAACACAATTACAAATACAAACGAAAACAAAAACTTAACAACAAACACAACCACACCCACAAACACCAATACAAACACAAAGAAAAAACAAACAAAAAAGCAAACGAAAACAAAAACCTAACAACAAACCCAACCACAAACACCAATACCAACAAAAAAAAATCAACGAAAAAAGCAAACGAAAACAAACCAAATCCAAACGCAAAACCAACCAAAAACACAAATACAAACCCAAACAAAAAAAAACAAAAAACGAAAAAGAAAGAACAAAAACGAACCAAATTAAAACGCAACCACTAACGCAAACCCACCTAAACACAAAGAAAACACTAACGCGAACATAAACGCCCGGGGCGGAATCACCTGTTTTAGCTTAATGAACGACTATAGTACCCCAACTTATTCACAGTCTTTTGCACTCACTTAAACGAACGCGCCTGTTTCAATTTAATAAACAATTTTAATACTCCAAGCTTATCCGTAAAATACCTACAACATTTGCACTTGATCAATCCCCGCTAATTATGTAATTATTTTTTTTCCCAACACCAAAACAAAGTAATTAAAAAGTAAATTATTTTCACGGAATGCAGTGGTTTTATAAAGGGAAGTAATTGTGTTTTTCCTAATTTATCAAAGGGAAGTAAGTGCTATAGGACTAAATAAAGACATAATTAGAATTTTTGTAAAAGATGATATTTTTTTAAAAACTTGTGTTTAATGAACATGCCGACAATTATTACTATAATTTGAAAAATGAAAATTATTTCCCAACACTTTCAATGGTAATTTTTTAGCTCATAAATTTAGACAAATGCGCACGATAATTTTTCTAACACTTAAAATCGTACAATTCCAACGACATACAAATGCATTACATACAGAACTGAGCTTTATATATTAGATATAGATATGTACAAATAGTTTTAACCCTGAAGAAGATTCAGGAGCGGCGCTTTACCATTAAGACGGACTACTAGCGGTTGGGGCTATCTATGTGGGACGGGGAGGGGAGAGCCAAAATGTGTAATCGCCATTATTTAAAAAAATAACAAAGTAATAAAAAGTAGCTTATAAAATTAAATTTTTACAAAGATGTAATGCTTTTTTAATAAAGGGAAGTAATTGTGTTTTCCTAATTTATCAAGGGACGTAATGAGTAAATATAAATAATTTTAACACAATTAGAATTTTTGTGAAAGGTGATATATTTTTTAAATTATGTACGATGGACATGCCTAGAATTTTTAACACTTTCACTATTAATTTTTTAAATCATTAATTTAGTCTCGCTACCTCGGTAACAAACAAACAGAATAGAATTTTATATATTAGATTGAATTAATTTTTGTTTATGTTGAGCTAATTACAACGAAGATTTTTACTTTCTCGTATATACGAAGTATAGAGAAAGTATTATAATCGTGCACAAAAATCACTTGAAATTTTAACAATTTTCACCGTATCACACCTCAGTCCTTCATCACATCCAAAGTATAGAGGACTTATTTTAATCGGGCAAAAATTATCAATCCAGATTTATCAAAATTAAGAGGTTTTATGCGTAATCCAGTCTGAAAAACTGGGCTTTGCAATTCTGTCCGTATGTCTGTGTGTCTGTCTGTCCGTGTGTAAACACGATAACATGAGTACCGTTACAGCTAGGTTGATGAAATTTCATATATAAGTATTTTATCAAAATCGTAGATCCGTATCAACTTTTGAGCGATTTCCGATAACCGGAAGTGGTACTTTTTTTTACTTTGAATTTTTCAAAAGCCTATAACTTGAGTACTATTTCAGATAGATAAATGAAATTTCACATGTAAGTATAAAATCTAATTCTCTACCTTCTGTCAAATTTTGAGTAATTTCCGTTGCCCGGAAGTACTAATTTATGCTACTTCCGATTTCTCAAAAAACTAATGTAAATTTTTAAAGTACTAATAATATTGCGCACTATTATGCACTTTTTAAATTTGGCGTTCACTTGGTGTGCAATCTTTTGTCTACGAGATTTTATTCTATTTTTAAAACTTTAAGTATTTAAAATGGATTAAAAATCATGTCTAAAGCCCGAGTTCCCATCCCCTGTTATTTTATATAAGAATATTCGAGAAAGTTTAGGGGAGATCACTCCCGGTTTATTTTTATTTAGTTTTGGTAAGAAGTGGGACAATATGTCGCACTTCTCACCACTGACCGCGTTCTTTACGGCATTTCCATTTTCTCTACCAAGTCAGCCATTTTTTTTTCTCAAAATGTAGCTGAATTTTACTTTCTCGTACACAGAGTATAGATGAAGTATTGTAATCCTGGTAAATTATTAACATATTTTGAAACTTTTTCAGACTTTTACACCTCCCTACTAAATGTATTGAAATTGTGTAAGAAATCTAAATCGGGTAAATTTGACAATTTACATCCTTGCGGATCCGGAAAAAAAATTGCAAAGTTTTTGCAATTTGTGTGATTGTGAACACGATAACTTGATTACTGTTTAAGTTAGGTTGACGAAATTTCATTTGTATTATATTAAATGTGTAGTTTTCTATTTAATCGATTTCTTTTAAACGAAAGCTGTTTTTACAAGCTTTTATTTAACTCACTTCCTCTGTCGTCAGTCTGTCTAGACGGAAACGCAGGAGTGAAAATTCGGACAGTTCTACTTGACCGATACGATTCACAGTTGGCACGTGGGTCAAGACATGAAGACAATGCAATCTGAAACTAAATTTGACTTAATTGGATGCCTAATTAATTTTTTATGAATTAATTAAAATTTGGACCGAATTAGTAGGCATGTCTAGCCAACCACACCACACGCGTCATCACCTTCAATAGCTGCGCCATCACGTAATGGCTGCGTTCAAAAACCATTGCGCGCCTACTGAACGTGATGTTCAGTAGGCGCGCAATGGTTTTTAGTCATGTAACTCTATTGTAAATAAAACATGTAAAGTACTGAAAAAAAAAATTCATAAAAAACGTTTTAATAACAAGCTTTTATGTAATGATGAACTAAAAAGTAGAAAATAAATTATTGACTACTATTTAAATAACTATAAAGAAAAGCGTGGGTGTCTTCCTTAACATTAGTAAAGGTATCCAATAGATACTAAAGTGACCCACGCTTTTCTTTATAGTTATTGAAATAGTAGTCTATAATTTATTTTCTTCTTTTTAGTGCATCATTACATAAAAGCTTGTTTTTAAAACGTTTTTTATGAATTTTTTTTTAGTCTACGTCCGATTTCTTGCGTTGTCCTAGGAAAGGAATTCATACAGAAAAAGGTGCATTAAAAGTGGGTCAAAAATGTTACTAGAATTTACAACAATCCCACACAGTGAGAGACAGACCTTAGTGTGCAACAGACAACAGTGTGGGAGATAGTGTGAGAGAGCAGTGTGAGAGAGAGCAGTGAGTAGTGAGAGAGAGAGAGCAGTGTGAGAGAGAGCAGTGAGTAGTGAGAGAGAGAGAGAGCAGTGAGAGAGAGCAGTGTGGGAGATAGTGTGAGAGAGAGAGCAGTGAGTAGTGAGAGAGAGAGCAGTGAGAGAGAGAGCAGTGTGGGAGATAGTGTGAGAGAGAGAGAGAGAGTAGTGAGAGAGAGAGCAGTGAGAGAGAGAGCAGTGAGAGAGAGCCGTGTGAGAGAGAGCAGTGAGAGAGAGAGAGCAGTGTGTGAGAGAGAGGGAGAGAGAACAGTGAGAGAGAGAGAGCAGTGAGAGAGAGAGCAGTGAGAGAGAGAGAGCAGTGAGAGAGAGCAGTGTGAGAGATAGAGAGCAGTGTGAGAGAGATAGAGCAGTGAGAGAGAGAGCAGTGTGAGAGAGAGCAGCGAGTGAGAGAGAGAGCAGTGAGAGAGAGAGCAGTGAGTGAGAGAGAGAGAGCAGTGAGAGAGAGAGTAGTGAGAGAGAGAGAGCAGTGTGAGAGAGAGAGAGCAGTGTGAGAGAGAGAGCAGTGTGAGAGAGAGAGCAGTGTGAGAGAGAGAGCAATGAGAAAGAGAGCAGTGTGATAGAGAGAGAGCAGTGAGAGAGAGAGAGCAGCGAGAGAGAGAGCAGTGAGAGAGAGAGAGCAATGAGAGAGAGAGAGAGCAGTGTGAGAGAGAAAGCAGTGAGAGGGAGAGCAGCGAGAGAGAGAGAGCAATGAGAGAGAGAGAGCAGTGAGAGAGAGCAGTGAGAGAGAGAGCAGTGAGAGAGAGAGAGCAATGAGAGAGAGAGAGCAGTGTGATAGAGAGCAGTGTGATAGAGAGCAGTGAGAGAGAGCAGTGAGAGAGAGAGCAGTAAGAGAGAGAGAACAGTGAGAGAGAGAGAACAGTGTGAGAGAGAGAACAGTGAGAGAGAGAGAGAACAGTGGGAGAGAGAGTGCAGTGTGAGAGAGCAGTGAGAGAGAGCAGTGGGAGAGAGCAGTGAGAGAGAGAGCAGTGTGATAGAGAGCAGTGAGAGAGAGTGCAGTGTGAGAGAGCAGTGAGAGAGAGCAGTGGGAGAGAGCAGTGAGAGAGAGCAGTGTGATAGAGAGCAGTGTGATAGAGAGCAGTGAGAGAGAGAACAGTGAGAGAGAGAACAGTGTGAGAGAGAGAACAGTGAGAGAGAGAGAGAGAGAGAACAGTGGGAGAGAGAGTGCAGTGTGAGAGAGCAGTGAGAGAGAGCAGTGGGAGAGAGCAGTGTGATAGAGAGCAGTGAGAGAGAGAGAGCAGTGAGAGAGAGAGAGCAGTGAGTGAGAGAGAGAGAGCAGTGAGAGAGAGAGAGAGCAGAGAGAGAGAGAGAACAGTGAGAGAGAGAGAGAACAGTGGGAGAGAGAGTGCAGTGTGAGAGAGCAGTGGGAGAGAGCAGTGTGAGATAGAGAGCAGTGTGATAGAGAGCAGTGAGAGAGAGAGCAGTGAGAGAGAGAGAGCAGTGAGAGAGAGAGAACAGTGTGAGAGAGAGAGCAGTGAGAGAGAGAGAGCAGTGAGAGAGAGAGAGCAATGAGAGAGAGAGCAGTGAGAGAGAGAGCAGTGAGAGAGAGAGCAGTGTGAGAGAGAGAGCAGTGAGAGAGAGAGCAGTGAGAGAGAGAGCCATGAGAGAGAGAGCAGTGAGAGAGAGAGCAGTGTGAGAGAGAGCAGTGAGAGAGAGAGCCGTGTGAGAGAGAGAGCAGTGAGAGAGAGAGCCGTGAGAGAGAGCAGTGAGAGAGAGAGCAGTGAGAGAGAGAGCAGTGAGAGAGAGAACAGTGAGAGAGAGAGAGCAGTGAGAGAGAGCCGTGAGAGAGAGCAGTGAGAGAGAGCCGTGTGAGAGAGAGAGCAGTGAGAGAGAGAGCAGTGAGAGAGAGAACAGTGAGAGAGAGAGCAGTGAGAGAGAGAGCCGTGTGAGAGAGAGCAGTGAGAGAGATAGAGCCGTGAGAGAGAGAGCAGTGAGAGAGAGCCGTGTGAGAGAGAGAGCAGTGAGAGAGAGAGCCGTGTGAGAGAGAGAGAGCAGTGAGAGAGAGCCGTGTGAGAGAGAGAGCAGTGAGAGAGAGAGCAGTGAGAGAGAGAACAGTGAGAGAGAGAGCAGTGAGAGAGAGAGCCGTGTGAGAGAGAGCAGTGAGAGAGATAGAGCCGTGAGAGAGAGAGCAGTGAGAGAGAGAGCAGTGAGAGAGAGAACAGTGAGAGAGAGCAGTGAGAGAGAGAGAGCAATGAGAGAGAGAGAACAGTGTGAGAGAGAGCAGTGAGAGAGAGAGCAGTGTGAGAGAGAGCAGTGAGAGAGAGAGAACAGTGTGAGAGAGAGAGCAGTGAGAGAGAGAGCAGTGAGAGAGAGAGCAGTGAGAGAGAGAGCAGTGAGAGAGAGAGCAGTGAGAGAGAGAGAGCAGTGAGAGAGAGAGCAGTGAGAGAGGGGAGCAGTGAGAGAGGGAGAGAGCAGTGAGAGCGAGAGCAGTGTGAGAGAGAGAGCAGTGAGAGCGAGAGCAGTGTGAGAGAGAGAGCAGAGAGAGAGAGAGAAGATAAAGTCAATAAAGAGAAGAAAAACGGCATTCGAGATGGACCTCAGACAGTAAATGACTTCCGGACAATCGTAGTAGACCGGTGAATGTGTTTATTTGTAGTCATAATATAGTGAGTAGTTAAACAACTTTAAAATGCAACAATTTAAACACTTATTTAAAAATGTATAACCACTCGCATTAAGATTGCTAATGAAAATTTAAAACATTAACTGGGAAAATTATTTTTATTGATCGTTCTAGGAAAGAAAGAGAAAACAAAGAGATATGCAAATACAAGCCATACACAGCCTACAGGCTACAAAGAATAAAGCACCAGCCTAATGAAGCACCTTGAATGACGTCACACACCTAAAGAAAACTTAGGACTTTTGTGACGATAGCGAAGAAAGAAAGTGTGGCGTTACATCTTTTTTTTTTCATTTAAAAGTGTATTATTAAACACAGTTTAAGCAGTTAAAAAAATATTGACCTGCAATTGCTAAAAAAACAAACAATAGTAAATAATAGTGATCAGAGGCGTAGCGATGTGGGGAGGGGGGGGGGGCAGGGGGGGTACATATGTTCCCGGGCGCCGACCTTAGGGGGCGCCAAAATGGGTTGTAAAAACAAATTACAATGTCATTTTAGATGCATTTTTGCATTATAAATAGTTTTTACAATTTAGAGCTTTCAAGGCCAATAAGCTGTCTGTTTTTCCTCTAACCTTATCTTACTGTAATTTAGGAAACAGAAACCATGATGCAGGCTATGTAGTCTAGAAAACACTGCTTTTATTTTCAAATAAATTTCCGTGTATATTTTTATTATATGTTGACTGTGCCTTAATAAAGTTACCCTTTTCAATACATGAAAATAAGTGAATTTAAATCCCAGTTGTCATCTAAAGGGCTCCCATACATGGTCAGATCGGCTGCTATCAGTGTTTCTTCCAGACTTTTTTCTCCGGGGGGGGGTGGGCGGTAGACTTTCTTCGGGGGGGCGGACACTGTTAAAAGTATATATTTTCTATATAAATTATATAAATTTCATTTCGTTCGGGGGGGGGGGGGGGGGCGGTAAAAATTTTCGGGGGGCTTCGACCCCCCGAAGAGATGCCTGGAAGAAACTCTGGCTGCTATGTCAGTTGTCATCTAAAGGGCTCCCATCGGCTGCTATGTCAGTTGTCATCTAAAGGGCTCCCATACATGGTCAGATCGGCTGCTATGTCAGTTGTCATCTAAAGGGCTCCCATCGGCTGATATGTCAGTTGTCATCTAAAGGGCTCCCATACATGGTCAGATCGGCTGCTATGATGTCTCCCGCCTGCTCCGCGGCTTCTTCTGTCTCTGTCTTATGGCTGGAGTTGCCGGAGTGAGTTTCTGTTTTTTTGTGGTGCGTGTGTAAGCATCTCAAGGGGTTTGCGTACAAAGTTAAATCAGCCGCAATCTGGAACTCATCATCGTCCTTTTGACCCGCACAGTTTTCATGTTGTCTTTGTTCCATTCTCTTCTCGTCTTGTCCTGTTTTCTCTGGAGATATGGTTGGCTCCGCTGTGGAATATACATTCAAATACAGTTTACATGAGCTAGCCTGATGAAAGAAATCTTTAAATGCAGACCATGCTATTAATAATCACTACTATTGATCGGCTGCGTGAAAACTATTCCAAACTAAGACTTTCGGAAGGTTATTTTATAACAACAAAACCTCTAGTAAGTTCGTGAAGTAATCAGATTCTATACGTCCAGTTTTTTATGAAGAAAAAAGTCACGCATGTTCATAATTGACCCAAAACACGACGGACTGCTACGATCTTTTGAAAGTACCTTGTGACCTAAGGTGTAACAAATAAGAAAGGTCGTTGTCTCATGTTACTCTTCGTACTATTTCAGTCCCCGTGGAACTAGCTAGTAGGCCTATATCAAAACCTAGATCAGCTTTTTTTTTTAAAACTGAAATATTTTTCTAACGGAAAACGATTTTCGGGCGAATGGTAAGGAATGAATGAATCTTCGATCTCTGCGCAGTGTAGAACATCCCGGCGCAGCTATGTTTAATACTCTCTGACATGTCAATGTCACACTGACTTCTTCCCAATTATTTGTTCTCGAGTGCTGCGAAAATTGTTTGTTATTTTTAAAAGCATCTTCGAAAAGCTGAACCGCAGTATTTATTGATTTGCTTTTCGTTCTAGTGTTGGCCGGATGTGACGCACAGTGTTGACACAAACTGTCCAGGACAGGTTGCAAACGTTTTACTGGGATGAGGTTGACGCTGGCAAGGATGCATTAAATCCAGTAGTAATGCGCGGCGTTAGTGTGTGTTTCTAAAAGCTAATCGATAACTGTTCAAAGAGGAGCTTTGGTGAAAATCAATACTTGTGATAAGTTATGGTGACTCAACCTACAAAAACTCTTTTCAAACCATGTAGTTTAAAACCATGTAGTTTAAATTATTAACTTAGCTTAATTATTATTAATCAAGCTAAATATCTGGACATGAATTTGTCATGAGTTGGAAAGCTATGGGTACAATACAGTCCAAAGCGGAGGAAGAGTCGTATCTTACAAGTAGGCCAACCCCGAGAATAAAACATTTAATTTTGGCACTCTACTATTTTATTTGAACAGAAAACTTCATTACTTGCTGTTTCTAGTGATCTCACTGATAGATCTAGTGATAGATTACCTTTGATCAGTTAATGAGCAATCAAAACAGTCTAGAATTTCGAGCTATTTTTTTCCGTTTCACTAGCATTTTTATTTTTAGTGGTTTTTAAAGTAACAATGCGACTGTAAAAAAAATGTTATCCTTCAATAGATGGTGAAAAAGAAGAGTATGGAGCAAATATTCGTTCAACGTCAATATTGGGTTCTATTTGTTGTTGTTTTATACCCGTGTTTTACTAGAATTCTACCTGCTTGTTAAATAGAGAAGAATGGATAGTTTAGTTACTAAAATAGCAGCACGTTGCTTTAATGAGGCATCGATTTTTAGACGGTGTGGTCCGGTATGGTCTGCTGTGATGGCGTGAGGTTCCAATAGACCCTCGCTGTGTGGAAAACACTGCAATAGTCAGAAGTATACGCGTTTAATGACAGCTGCCCAAATCACTTGATAAAACGCCCATTGATGTCAACTGTGCCTCGTGCAGGCTGTCAAACAAAACATGCGTGTCATGCCTTGTCGTCAAATATGCGCCTTTTCAAATGGGTTGACCTTTGGGTCACGCCTATCTATCTTAAGGTACGCAAGGTATAAGTTCCCATGGAAATAGACTAAAGTACAACTTCCGGTTAACAGAAATCTTTTGAAAATTGACTTTATATAAAAAGCAATGTGTGTGTTTGTCTTTTATGCTTTACTACACCTTTCATCCGATTGCCATGAAACTTTGGGAAGTTGTTGAGAATACTTCTGGGGAGGTTTCTGCAAAAAAAAATAATTTTTAATTTCGCAAAGGCGGCGACCCGGGAGGGTGCGATTTTATTCTCTGTATACGGTATAGTTAAAAAGTCGGATGCGGTTTAACACCGTTCATCCGAGTGCCATGAGCTTTGAAGAGTTGATAAAAATACGCGGTTTGGTGCCCAGAGTTCCAGAGCGGCTATCTTAGCTCTTGGTATCCGTGAATTGGGCGTCCTGCTTGGCTAGTTTTGCTGTTTTGATAAAAATGTTATCTACTAGCTGTTGAGTGGGTCTTACTGTCTCCTTAGTTAGACTGTGATCAGAGGTCAATATCAAGGCAAAATATATTTTGGACATGTGGGTTTGTATGTACGTGGTGTCTGCACATCTTGAACATGTGGGTTTGTATGTGCGTGGTGTCTGCACATCTTGAACATGTGGGTTTGTATGTGCGTGGTGTCTGCACATCTTGAACATGTGAGTTTGTATGTGCGTGGTGTCTGCACATCTTGAACATGTGGGTTTGTATGTGCGTGGTGTCTGCACATCTTGAACATGTGGGTTTGTATGTGCGTGGTGTCTGCACATCTTGAACATGTGGGTTTGTATGTGCGTGGTGTCTGCACATCTTGAACATGTGGGTTTGTATGTGCGTGGTGTCTGCACATCTTGAACATGTGGGTTTGTATGTGCGTGGTGTCTGCACATCTTGAACATGTGGGTTTGTATGTGCGTGGTGTCTGCACATCTTGAACATGTGGGTTTGTATGTGCGTGGTGTCTGCACATCTTGAACATGTGGGTTTGTATGTGCGTGGTGTCTGCACATCTTGAACATGTGGGTTTGTATGTGCGTGGTGTCTGCACATCTTGAACATGTGGGTTTGTATGTGCGTGATGTCTGCACATCTTGAACATGTGGGTTTGTATGTGCGTGGTGTCTGCACATCTTGAACATGTGGGTTTGTATGTGCGTGGTGTCTGCACATCTTGAACATGTGGGTTTGTATGTGCGTGGTGTCTGCACATCTTGAACATGTGGGTTTGAATGTGCGTGGTGTCTGCACATCTTGAACATGTGGGTTTGTATGTGCGTGGTGTCTGCACATCTTGAACATGTGGGTTTGTATGTGCGTGATGTCTGCACATCTTGAACATGTGGGTTTGTATGTGCGTGGTGTCTGCACATCTTGAACATGTGGGTTTGTATGTGCGTGATGTCTGCACATCTTGAACATGTGGGTTTGTATGTGCGTGGTATCTGCAAATTATTGACAAGTGCGTTTTTAGTGCAAGATGGTTGCACAGTCTGGACACGTGTGTTTGTACGTACCAGACGACTGTACATTATGGACATCTCTCTGTGGGGAGGGGGGACGGGGGGGCACACCCTTCTCCCCACAATAAGCCCACCGCCCCTCTCCATATTAAGTTCACCACCATAGACAAAAAATAAAAATAAAGAAAAAAAATTTAAAAAGTGACAAAACAGAATTGTATATAGAAAATTTAATTAGTGTTAACACCCCCCCTCCCCCATCTGAAAGAAACCCTGTGTCAGATTGTAGCTTGTTCCGAAATAAGGTGTCTGTTCTAGACGGTTGCAAAATTAGAGCTAATAAAACATAACAGGCCAAATGGCCTCTTATAATACAACGTAGGGAAGCTAATGATGCTATGCGCTGAAATTTCGAGTAACGATCTAATAATTAGTTGCTGATGTGATTAACAATCGATATGTATTAAGTGCGGGTATTTGAATTATGAATTATAACCAGCTTATAAAGGGAAAAAATATAATTACCCGCTAATGAATAGGCTAGATCAATAGTTTGTATGATTCATTAGTAAAGCTGTCTTCCATGAGTATCGGCGTTTTTCTGCGGGTAGGGTTTACATTTCATTGATTAGGATCCTCAGTTTGATCAGATTTTCTGTAGGTACAGAGCTCGGCTTGGTGGGTCACACACTCGTGCACGTTGTAACTCGTGCACGTTGTAAATCATACGGAGCTCGGTTTGGTGGGTCACACACTCGTGCACGTTGTAACTCGTGCACGTTGTAAATCATACGGAGCTCGGTTTGGTGGGTCACACACTCGTGCACGTTGTAACTCGTGCACGTTGTAAATCATACGGAGCTCGGTTTGGTGGGTCACACAGTCGTGCACGTTGTAAATCATACGGAGCTCGGCTTGGTGACGTCAGACAGTCGTGCACGTTGTAAATCATACGGAGCTCGGTTTGGTGGGTCACACAGTCGTGCACGTTGTAAATCATACGGAGCTCGGTTTGGTGGGTCACACAGTCGTGCACGTTGTAAATCATACGGAGCTCGGTTTGGTGGGTCACACAGTCGTGCACGTTGTAAATCATACAGAGCTAGGCTTGGTGGGTCAAACAGTCGTGCACGTTGTAAATCATACGGAGCTCGGCTTGGTGACGTCACACAGTCGTGCACGTTGTAAATCATACAGAGCTAGGCTTGGTGGGTCACACAGTCGTGCACGTTGTAAATCATACGGAGCTAGGCTTGGTGACGTCAGACAGTCGTGCACGTTGTAAATCATACGGAGCTCGGCTTGGTGGGTCACACAGTCGTGCACGTTGTAAATCATACGGAGCTCGGTTTGGTGGGTCACACAGTCGTGCACGTTGTAAATCATACGGAGCTCGGTTTGGTGGGTCACACAGTCGTGCACGTTGTAAATCATACGGAGCTCGGCTTGGTGACGTCAGACAGTCGTGCACGTTGTAAATCATACGGAGCTCGGCTTGGTGGGTCACACAGTCGTGCACGTTGTAAATCATACGGAGCTCGGTTTGGTGGGTCACACAGTCGTGCACGTTGTAAATCATACGGAGCTCGGCTTGGTGGGTCACACAGTCGTGCACGTTGTAAATCATGAGCCAAGAACAAAACGTTTGCCTTACTTGAAACAAACGTTTTGATGTACATGTTGGTTTTTCCAGTCTAATCCTTTACATTTTATAACAAATTGTAATCCATTCAATCAAGCAATTTATAGTCCATTAACCCTAATTAGGGTCGTTGGGCACCAGTTTATTTGCTCATAACTTTCTGCGATCTCTCTCGGTCCTCTACTGCTCTGCCATCTCTCTCGGTCCTCTACTGCTCTGAGTAGCTCGGCAACGGGCGGCCCGGTCCGATATTTGATAACCTCAATCTAATCACGTTTTTGCTTTCCCATCTTCTCCCTCCTGGTGCAATGTCTTGCATTTCTCTTTGGCGTTACCGTACAATCTCAGTTTTCTTGTTTAAACAATCTTCAGTAAACGCTCAAATGGACCAATCACATTAGAGACCATTTCACTGATCTCTTAATATGTGATATCTGTATAGGATTCCTAAGAATCTGCGTAGACATCTCATTACCAGAACCTACATTCTTGTTATGTTTACATAAGGTTTAATATTTCATCAAAGAAGCGATATACCGACCACATATATACATGAATTATAGCAATAGAATTATTATTACTGCTGAGGGTCCACGCCTCGCATCCTTACCCAGACATGGCCAGTGACAGCATGAGTTTAACTTATGTGCCAGTAGAATTCTTTTTGTAGAACGCGAAAAGCTTCTTAAGTCACTTGGTGTTGTTGTTTTGGCACATATTTCTATATTTCTTGCTTTATTCTCTCATCAGAAAGGATGGCGCCAAGTCCGCCGATGCTGATTGAGCCTTAGGCTTTTTCATTTCTCTTCTGCGATGGAATGATACTATTTGAACTAATTTAACTTCACTATTCGGTGGAATGATACTATTTTAACTAATTTAACTTCACTATTCGGTGGAATGATACTATTTGAACTAATTTAACTTCACTATTCGGTGGAATGATATCTATTTTTAACATCATCAGTCCAATATCATTTTTAAATACAAAAAAATATATTGCTACAGTGTTTAGTTCTTCATCTATAAAGCAGTGGGTACTCAGAATGGACCTGTTCAGAGTTTCTTCCAGGCATCTCTTCGGGGGGTGGGGGGGGGGGGGGGGGCTTCGCCCCCCCCCCCCCCGAAGGAAATGAAATTTATATAATTTATATAGAAAATATATACTTTTAACAGTGTCCGCCCCCCCCCCCCGAAGAAAGTCTACCGCCCCTCCCCCCTCCCCCCGAAAATTTCAAGAGCCCCCCCCCCCCCCCCCGGAGAAAAAAGTCTGGAAGAAACACTGGACCTGTTCTGCATAGTCCGAGCCTCACAATGCCAGTCATGTTCAGTCTTCCAGACTTTTTTCTCCGGGGGGGGGGGGGGGGGGGGGCACTTGAAATTTTCGGGGGGCGGGGTAGACTTTCTTCGGGGGGGGGGGGGCGGACACTGTTAAATGTATATATTTTCTATATAAATTCCATTTCGTTCGAGGGGGGGGGGCGGTAGACTTTTTACGGGGGGTGGGGGCGGACACTGTTAAATTTATATATTTTCTATATAAATTCCATTTCGTTCGGGGGGAGGGGGGCTCCCTACGGTCAGTAACAAACAAAAGCCCCTACATCCATACAGTCAGTAACAAACAAAAGCCCCTACATCCCTACAGCCAGTAACAAACAAAAGCCCTTACACATCCCTAGTCAGTAACAAACAAAAGCCCCTACATCCCTACAGCCAGTAACAAACAAAAGCCCCTACATCCCTACAGTCAGTAACAAACAAAAGCCCCTACATCACTACAGCCAGTAACAAACAAAAGCCCTTACACATCCCTAGTCAGTAACAAACAAAAGCCCCTACATCCCTACAGCCAGTAACAAACAAAAGCCCCTACATCCCTACAGTCAGTAACAAACAAAAGCCCCTACATCACTACAGCCAGTAACAAACAAAAGCCCTTACACATCCCTAGTCAGTAACAAACAAAAGCCCCTACATCCCTACAGCCAGTAACAAACAAAAGCCCCTACATCCCTACAGTCAGTAACAAACAAAAGCCCCTACATCCCTAGTCAGTAACAAACAAAAGCCCCTACATCCCTACAGTCAGTAACAAACAAAAGCCCCTACATCCATACAGTCAGTAACAAACAAAAGCCCCTACATCCCTACAGCCAGTAACAAACAAAAGCCCCTACATCCCTACAGTCAGTAACAAACAAAAGCCCCTACATCTCTAGTCAGTAACAAACAAAAGCCCCTACATCCCTACAGACAGTAACAAACAAAATCCCCTACATCCATACAGTCAGTAACAAACAAAAGCCCCTACATCACTACAGCCAGTAACAAACAAAAGCCCCTACATCTCTAGTCAGTAACAAACAAAAGCCCCTACATCACTACAGCCAGTAACAAACAAAAGCCCCTACATCCCTACAGACAGTAACAAACAAAAGCCCCTACATCTCTAGTCAGTAACAAACAAAAGCCCCTACATCCCTACAGACAGTAACAAACAAAAGCCCCTACATCCCTACAGTCAGTAACAAACAAAAGCCCCTACATCCCTACAGACAGTAACAAACAAAAGCCCCTACATCCCTAGTCAGTAACAAACAAAAGCCCCTACATCACTACAGCCAGTAACAAACAAAAGCCCCTACATCTCTAGTCAGTAACAAACAAAAGCCCCTACATCCATACAGCCAGTAACAAACAAAAGCCCCTACATCCCTACAGACAGTAACAAACAAAAGCCCCTACATCCCTAGTCAGTAACAAACAAAAGCCCCTACATCCCTACAGACAGTAACAAACAAAAGCACCTATATTTTTATACTCTGTAAAAGACATTAAAAAATAATTTTAAAAACTTTGTAATAACAAACTTTTAAATGCACTTAAAATAAGAAAATAAAACTAGTATGTTTTGGTCTATTAGGAAAGGAAGCAAATTAGGTTTATTTTATTTTCGGTGCCTTTAAAAGCTTTGTTATAATAATTATAATTTGTTGTTTATTGTCTTTTTTCATTTTCTTTTTTTTAAATACATTTGTTTTCAGTCGTTCTTTATGAAGTCGACACCACATAGATCTACGACAAAGATAAAATTCGTGAAAATACTGAGAAAATACTGAAAAGCAACCGTCCGTGAGCAACAGTTCACCACCGACAGCAAGGTGATCAAGCGATCACTCGAGCTTAATCTTGTTAGCTGCCATTGGTTTCGAAATCATTAACTAAATTTTAATGAGTAAATGTCTATCTAATAATCTAATTAGATTAAAAATGAGATATTCTTTATTTCATCGAAGAAGAAGTTATCTGGAAAGTTTGAACGAAATCGCTGCATTAGAAGTGGGTCAAAATTGAGTTACAAGATTTGCCACACACCCACAAACAAACAAATAAAAAGAACACACGTGAAAATAAATATCTTTGGAAAATCACGTGTTTTTCAAAGTGAACCTACATAACAGCTCTATCATCCTATTGGCTATTTCTTCTGGAGAACTAATCTATCGTTTTCTGTTCATGCTAAAAGGTTGTATTGATTTTTAACCCAGATGTCGATAAGCAATCGAAGTGCTTTTGTTATCATAGCCGCACGTTCATTTCCACTTTAAAAGCTAAATAATAGTAAAGTATTCGACATTTAAAAAAATATACAGTGGCACGGATTTCAAATTATCAACTACATAAATTTTTAAGTGTGAGTTTGATTCTTAGTCTTGCTAAGTTCGTGTATTTTGTGTAGATTTTCGCGTGTGTGTGTGTGTGTGTGTCATTTAGCTTAATGCATCTCTCCTCAGAACGAGACTAATGTTTATTGATCTGTTGCCTGAGATTTATAAACACAGTTTATCTAAATGTACGACGAACGCAGACTTTATTTCTATACAACCAAAGACGTATATTATTTATTCAGTTGCCATGGTAGCCTTTGAATCCAGATACAGGCTTGATAGGATTTTTTTTTAAATGTAGGAATTCATAAGAACACAGCAATGTTTATATAAACGCTTTAACTAAAGTTGTTTATTTTGTTTCAGGGACAGTTTATAGCCCATAGAGTGAATGGGGGTAAATAAAAAAAAAAAAAAACCGACTAAATTGTGTTAGAAAAAAAGAATAACTATGCGACAACTCCAAAGGCCGCTGTTAAATGACAAGAAAATACATCCCCACACAATTCCAAAGGCCGCTGTTAAATGACAAGAAAATACATCCCCACACAATTCCAAAGGCCGCTGTTAAATGACAAGAAAAATCACTCCCGCACGCTTGTCGGTGGTATCAGCGAACTCACGTGATTTTCACGCCCAAAATTTAAATTTATAAATTTACTTCTCATGTTTTCTTAACATAATATATCACTATTTATGAGATAATGACACGTATATTTTATGAAATGCTGAATACCTGATTTTGACATGTCTTCGTGTTATCTTTGTATTTAAACCAAGTTACCTGAAATATAAAAAATAGCAACCGACAGGTAATCAATGAATCAAGTTTTAGACATCAAGATATCATACTTGGTTAACTAGATCTACAAATAGTAACCACCTTGTTCGAGAAAATATAAATAATCCCGTGTTTTTTAACTGAATTAACGATTTGGTTCAACTTCTGCTTTTCAATGGCTTCACTAGGGAGGGTTCCGTTATTTCTAAATTATTATAAAAATTATTTCTTTACTTACTTTTAAATTAGTTTTTTTTTTAAATTATTATTTCAAATATCGAGAGAAAAAGTCACCTCTCCAATATCACAAGTAAAATCAGTTTAGGTTCATCAATGAAAGCATTCGACGTATCCGCTAACAGAATAAGTCTACCTGGTAAAGGTAAAAATAAAGCGTGCTACTTTTGTATCCCTCCCCACCGCCTGCACCTTGCCGTATGAGATCACTTGTGGTTGATCAAGTCCGGCTCGCGCAATACGTGGGTCAGGAGATTAGAAAACGCCCCTCGATGATTTTTTTTCTATTGATTGTTATAGTTGTTGAATGCCAATATCATAGTTTCAGGTTATAATGGTGCTAGATCTATGATTTTATAATTTTAAGCGAAATGATGGTAATACAAATAGCACACCGGTACGGTTCGCCCACCTCAGCCGCAAAAAAAAACCCAACCTACTATGTAATTCTAAATGGTGTAAAAGCTGATCTAGTAGTAACAAGTGAAAACATAGATTGAAAATAAAATTAAGTAGAATAAAATAATTTGGATGTTTGTGTCATTTACTTCTAATAATAATCAAAATAATATCTCATTTCATCATCAAAACTATGGTAAACAAACACCCAAAATCGGCTCATAAACTTCATCGGACTTGCAAACGGACTTGAGAATGTCCGTAAGAAAAATGGACATTGGGCGGTCAATGCGAGGTGGTATTGACCAATGCTTAAATTGGCCGCCTCCAAGCTTCGCCCGTATATATATATATATATATATATATATATATATATATATATATATCAGGGGCGTAGCGAGGGGGGGGCGGGGGGTGCGGACCGCACCGGGTGACACCATTTAGGGGGGTGACACCAAGGCAAAAAATAGCAAAATATATAGAAAAAAACTCGAGGGGGGGGTGCAAATCGAAAGTTTGAGGGGGGGTGCAAATCGAAAACTCGAGGGGGGGGGGTGCAAATCGAAAGTTTGAGGGGGGTGCAAATCGAAAACTCGAGGGGGGGGTGCAAATCAAAAGTTTGAGGGGGGGGGTGCAAATCGAAAATTTGAAAGTTTGTCCCTGGGAAGGGTCTCTATGCCTCTGGGGGGGGTGACACCATTAAGTGCCGCACCGGGTGACACCCGACCTCGCTACGCCACTGATATATATATATATATATATATATATATATATATATATGTGTGTGTGTGTGAATGGGTGTGTGTATGTGTGTGTGTGTCTTACAATCATAGCCCGAAGTCAGCCAGTGTGCGCATTGGCCAATATTGACCGGCCAAAGTTCGAAAATTTACTTGATTCCGGCCTTTGGCAGGTCAGTCCGCGGACTGGCCATGGTGGACCGGCCAAGGTCCGAATTAGAAGATTATCTGGATAGAGGTGACCGGCCAAAGCCCGGATTAGAAGATTATTAGCAGATGCTGGTTTTTAACACCGCGGTGATTATGAAATTAGGTCTTTATTGATTATTAATTTAAAGTAAATGACAGCAACATTCAAATTATTTTATTGCACTATATTTTCAATCAATACTATCACTTTTTATAAGAACATGAACTTTGATGGCATTTATAATCACATAGTAGCTTGTTGTTTTTACACTTGCAGCGATTTGTTGTGCACTTTGATGTGCAATAGCAGCGAGTGTAGCCTTTGCCACGGGACATTGATTGTTAAGATGCGATGTTTCGTACTGATTTTTCCTCAGTGCCGATAACAGTTTTTCGTGAAGAAGGGAAAACTCACTTCTAGCATACGGTTGTTTTAGAACACCAGGTTCATCACGACCTCGGTCGAATTTGTTAAATTCACAAATTATGAATTGCTGATAAGCAGAAATTAAAACAACAAGATGGCGGCGTATACTACGTCGCGGGTCAGCTCGTAAACTTGTATTTGCCGTCTGGGTTACTTTGCATATCAATAAGATCCACTTGGCATATTGAGTTAAATTCTTTAAATATCAAAGGTTTGGAAACAAGACCTTTCTTGGGATTAAACAATTTTGTCTGATAAGACTTACACAACCGAAGATACACAGTAATGATTTCCTTAGTGATATTTTTGTACTTTATCGTCAGCTTTTTTCCAGCTGTGTGCGACCTTGTCCAATTTTCAAGTGAGTTTCACTGATCAAGTCGAATAACTCATCGCCCTTTTTCAATTGCAATGGATGAGTCGCTGGACAGCTGTTCCACCTCTCAACTGCTTGTGTTCATTAAAGGTGTGGATGAAGACATGATATGAGCATAACACCAGAGCTGGCTTCCCTACATAACAATAATGGCACTGTTACCGGAGAGGATATATTCAATGAATTTTTTTTAAACATTGCTGATTATAACTTGGATTGACCTGACAATCGATGGAGGAAAGTACATGAGTGTTCTAAAGAAAGGCTTGGTTGGACAAACGAATGATAAAAACGTTCTACAACCAATGTTCCTGCAGTAGTATATTATTCACCAGAAAGCTTTGTCTGCTAAATATATGGACATTAGCAGTGAACTGATTCCTGTGGTGAAGATGTTGAATTTCATAAGGTCACATGGGCTCAACCACAGATAGTTCAGAAACACGTTGAAAGATACAAACACAGAATCGCAAGATTTACCATATTACACAACAGTAAGATGACTAAGTTGTGAGAAAGCTCTTAACAGATTATTTAAGTTATATATATATATATATATATATATATATATATATATATATATATATATATACATCAGAGGCGTATCCAGGGAGCGAAATGAGCAAAAAAGGCGCCGAATTTTTATCACGTTCTATATACGTGTATTTTATATATATATATAACACTATTCGTGTTTACAAAATATTTTTGTCTATAATCAGAATTAAATATATCGTCATCATAAATGCTAAAGTATTACAGCACAATGAAAGTTTTTGAAATCAGAGTTGGTTTAAAACCACGCTTTTCAATAAATAGAAAAACATTCAGAATAACAGCCTACATTTAACTAAATATCGGTCTTTTAGTTCAGATCATAATTTTAATTAACTACTGCTTCTTTGTGTTCTTTAAATATCATTTTTTAACATAGTGATAGGTATGGGTTAGATCAATGTATTGATCACACACCTTTTTACTGGTAATTGCAAAAACAATATTCACAGAGTTTTACGTTTAAAAAGCAAATTTTCTGGCGGCATGGTACTTTGGTACATCATTACGCGTTTTTCTACATGTAGGCCTACTTAACAGATCAGTTCGGGGTGGGTTGGGGGGGGGGCGGATTCAACTTCATTCACCACTGTCCGGTCACTTTAGGTCAATTATCCAACCCAGTGTATACCTAGGTGTGACATTAATGTCGCTCTACACAATTGTGGTGGTGAGGTGTGTCGGGGGGGGGGGGGAGATAACCAACATTTTTTAGATGACTGTTCTAAACATACATATACATTACACAAATATATATTACACAAATATATATTACAGAAACAGATTTTAATAAGTAGCAGTGGTATTATGACAATATTTGTTTTTACAGAGGGGTCCATGGAGGAGGGAGGTTGTTACTGTTTCATATAATTTGTAATCGTAATCACTATCGCCCAAACTGTAAGAATACTACTACTTCATCGTGATGACGTTGTTGTCCTTGTCAAAATTTCCCCACCACTACGCAGTTTGCTCATAAGTAAATTTAAATAGAGGTGCCACATCAGTTGCATTTAGTTCGGTATTGTAATTTTTTTTAAATTAATCACACGATTCAAACTGTATATATAAAGTAATTATGTGTGAAGTTTTATGTATAACATTTTCTAATTCAATTATTCGTAAGCAAATACATTTTCCTTAAACTTAACACCCCTCTTGCCAAGTGTTACTACCCGTAGAGGTTTTTTAAACATGGCGATGCATCGTAATGGTTATTTTTAGAATGGCAAACTGATGCAGCTGTTAATACGTGTTGTAAACGTAGACACTACTAGACTAGTACAATAATGCTCAATTGCTGCATGAAAAGAAATCTTGTGATTTACATAGATGTGCCGACCAAAAATATTTTTTAAACAAATATCATTGTTTAAAACTTTGAGTTTAAAAAGTTTCCAAAAAGGCGCCACTTTGCCATTGTGCTCGCGGTAAAGCCCGGGGCACCAAAATAACACCCTGTTGGGGCGCCGGAGGATGCGCCTGATTTGAGATATTCAACGATTATTGTTGCCCCTCGTGTCTTTAGTGTATAGCCTTTGTGAAAACGAACGTAAGCGCTATAGTGGTCACAGGAGAGATCGGGGCGCTTCGGGTCACGCAATACCTGTTTTAACGCTGACTACAGTAGTACCCTTTACCCGCTATGCAGGACGCCCGATTAACGGATACCAAGTGCTAAGATAGCCGCACTGGAACCCTTTGGCCAAACCGTGTGTTGACAAAAAACTCGCATCCTCCCGGGCGCCGCCAATAAGAATTTAATTTATTTTTCCCGCTGAAACCTTTTCGAGAGTATTCTCTTCAACTCCACAAAGTTTCATTGCACTCGGAAGAACGGTGTCGAACCGCATCAGATTTTTTTAATATATACTTTATACAGAGAAAAATCGCACCTTCCCGGGGCGACGCCCTTGCAAAATAAAAATAATTTTTTTTTTTTTGCAGAAATCTCACCTGGAGAGTTCTCATCAACCTGGAAGAAACACTGAAATAGAGAGGAATCGAATCGCGCCCTACCGGGGCGCCACCTCAGTGAATTTGTATTGTGTGTGTGTGTGTATGTGTGAGACGGGCACGGGAGGAGCCAAATTGAAACTCGGACGTAGAAATGAGTCCCACACCTTGCTTGTTTTGACAAGAACCGTTTTGTCGCAGCTAAATTGCGGGGTCCATTTGTCGGTTGCCCTTTTAAAAGGGTAGATTAGTCATGGCTATTTTGTTAGAATCATTTTGTAATGAACCATTTTACAGACGCACGCTAATAATCTGTAGCTTATCGCTATTATCATAAAAGTATAAAAGTTATTTTTAAAATTAATGTTCTAAAACTGCGAAAGGAAAAAATAAACATAAACACCAACCAAAATGGCGTCGCTCGTAAGTAACGGCTATTTCAAGGGTAACTTTGTTACAAACCAGAAGAAAACCTTAATCAATAATCATGGACTAGATCTAGATTTAGATTCTAATTTGACTTATTGTTTAATCGATTTCGGCGTATTAAATTATTTTTGGATCTAGATCTATGTGTTACCAATGTTAATAAATCTAGAATCTAGATCTACTCTCTGTAGGTTGAATTATGGATTTTTTAAAATAAAATATTCTTTTATTTCAAATACACCATTAAGTTCCTTACCCCTTAAGAGAACATTTGACACCACATTTAAATATCTAGCTTATTCGGTTGACGAGAAAAAAGAGAATTTGAAAATTTAGCTAGAATGGAAAATGAATGACAAAACAAGAATCTTGCTCCTGGACCGGCATAACATGACGCCGTGAACTTGTGTGCACGAGCTTTTAATTCCCGCCATGGTAATTGCGTCAGCTTAGGTAATTTACTCACCGGAAAATAACAAAAAGCAACTGGTTGATAATAAAACTTAGATCTAGTTATTTTATTATTTATTAAATTCTACTCTACATTTTATTCATACCATTTTAAGAAATAATGAACACCTACATAAATCAAACGACCATAATAAATATTTTTATTTCAAATTCTAATTTTAAATAATAAATATGCATAAAATAATATGATAGTAATAGTTAAGATAGTTTATAAATGCAAATACATTTTACACTCAATCACATTATATTGAGTCAACAGTGTGGCAGCTGAGGTTCATACATGGTATTAGTGTCTTTTTTTTTTACATTACATTTTTTTTCATCTTGAAAACATGACGTATGTGATTTTTTTTTAAATAAAATCTCCAAACATCGTCACTCGCGTGATTGCTTGCTTATGTTTACTATCCTGTGGATGAAAAATCCCACCACGGTCGCGGGGTCACCGTGACTTCAGCAGGCCTACAGTACACGTCATAGAATGAACACGCGTACACGAGATGGTCGGTGTCTTCACTTCTCTCTCTCTCCCCCCCCCCCTTCTTCAAGCAAATTGAAAAAGAGACCTACTTCCCTACTTCTGGTCATTTTTTTTAGTTCGGTCATTTTTTTTTTAAGTTCGGATATCAGGCATGCTAGACAGCCAGCTGTATAAAAAAAATATTTTTTAAACTAGATCTACGTCTAGCTTAAAAAATAAATAAATAAACGCTTAAAATGCCCGTAAACAGATTATTTAGCGCCAAAAAAAGGCCGCTGAACGAGCATTTTTTACAATACGCAGCAATGAAAAAGGCTAACGGCCAATCAATTAAGTCTAAAAATCGCCCGTAATTAGGCCTAGCTCTGAAAAAGGCCACTGAACGAGCAACACTGATTATATAAACGAATAGGCCACGCGGCGTTGACGAGGTCAACCACCGGTCACGAATGCAGCAACGGTCGGCCCACAGTGAAGAAAAAATCAATATACTAATAAAATTACTAATACAATAATAATGTCTATAATTTTACTTTTTCCACACATGCTACAATTGATTTATAATTAAAATACTAGACTTAACAGTTCATTCCGTAAAAAAGAAAAACTAGTTGTTTCAGTCTGGCAACTAGCGTAACAATGACGTCATGATACTTAAAATAGCGGATAGAAATGTCAGCGTGGGTACCTCATCCTCGAGGAAGATTTTAGAAAAAGTAATCAAAAATACTGTAAATATACATGATAAATATATCAATTATATATTAATGTACAGTTAGTCGAGCCGTTTTCCCCGTTAGTCGGTCGTTTTTGGCGGCGGTTCAGTTTTTACGGAGAGTGCTCCACTAGAAATCCTCTCATTATTTACAACCACGAATCTTGCGATTTTTTCTGGCATTCTAAGGCATATTATCCATTTTATTAGCAATTTGCATTAAAATAATGATGAGAATTTGCGATATAAACAGTTTTTTCATTTGTCGTGGATGGGACCCCTAAAATAAACGGAAAAACCGTCAGAAAACGATGCGTGACGTTTCAGGGTCAGAGGTCAATCCTGCCATCTAAGCAATACGCCAGACTAACTCTCTGAGTCTCTAGTAGGAATGTTGGGATATTTTTCCTAATTACCATAGAATGATAAAATGTACACAGATTAATCCTATAATATACCCCATTGATAAAAATACCAAATTTATCATTCTAGGCCTAATAGTTTTTTTTATATGAATTTTTAAAGTTATGTATTAAACCTGTTATATATCACTGTAACTGTAACATCGGATTTATTAATTGTGTGATTGGCTTTAGGCTTGCATACCACTGCTGCTATTCGAGATATAATTATAAAACTTTGCACATTAGTGCTAGAGAGTGTGGGCAATAGAAATATGAAAGTAAATTCAAAATTTGATGAAGGATAATTAGAACTAATCAAGTCAAATTAAAGTGAGGGGTGCTGTTCTATATAGGTCAATATGCAGACTGAAAGTCTATGTTTTTTTTTTTAATATTAAAATTGAAACTTTGCTAGAGGGTGGGGGCAATAGAAATATAGAAAAAAATTATATTAAGTATGACTGCATATAATTAAAAAGTCCTATGAAAGGGTGTTGCACCCTTTTATAGTAATTATAGTGACTGCAACGGACGTACGTCCAGAATGTTACTATAATAGATAGGATACATTTTGGTTATTGATACTGAAGCATGTAATAAGAAGAATGCTGAAAAATAAAACTAGGGATGGTGTGTTAAAGCACTCAACTACTAACATGCAAGTCTTAAGCTCAGATCTCAGACGAGTCTGTCTGTGCAGCGTGCAGCATCCACCAAGCTCAGATGAGTACCTGACCCAAGGGAAAGTAAAGATAGCTTGGCAGAGAGCTAACCACACCATCACTTCATGTGCATGGGTCAAGAAACAGATAAACTCTACTTCAGCTGCTTTATGGATGATGGATTGACAGGTCCAAAAGGGAAACTACTTTAATATACTAGGGCCTTTATAAGACCCTATTGATATTTTGGTACAACTAAATTACTAATCAATAGAAAAACCTTAAATTCTTGTAAAATTTAATTAAGCTAAGTGTTAATTTGTACCAAATCAGAAGTTACAGCTTCCCTGTCTATCTGCTTATATGAATATATATATTGGCAACATGCAGTGATTTAAATCCGTATTGTTTGTTGTTATTTGTTTTTTTTTACTTTTTATTATTAAATGTAAAAATTGTATCCTAAATTATTATGAATAATAATTATCATGCCTTTTTCATGTCATTCTAAATTCACTGCCTTATTAATTAGTACCCCCCCCCCCCCCATGTCAATTGCTGCACCTTTTAATTATAATACTAAGAAATAGGCCTATAACTTATTTATAGTATAAAGTATAATAGTATATTAAAGGCTATTACTTGTACTATTAGCCTTAAATCTAAGTAAGTAGGTATGTGTGAAATGCTTAACACTATTTAATGTAAGCCTAAGCTTCTTGCCTGTAGATTTTAATAGATAACTTGATCAACGTATTTTATCTAGTTTTAACAGTGCCACCCACAATTTAAATTCTTTCCAACTTCGAAAACTACGTCATTGGCATTAGTGCGCGTATTTTGTCGATAATAGGTAATGCGGTGCTAAACCGACGCCATGGCGTTGTCAAGGCCGAAGCGCTAGCTCGGGGATTTGACATGTATGATAACTCGTAAGCAGAAGTAGTAAGTGCCATAAAACCGTTATTATAATAATATTTGTTTATTTAATGGACACTTACAACTAATGGCAAGACACTTATAAAGGGTTTAATACGTAAACTTATTTAAAATGTGACAGCACCGTACGGGACATGTTCGCAAGATAAACTAATTAGAATCGTGCGATCGATTTCGGCTTAAAGATTGTCATAATGGCGGTAATTTTCTAATTGAAACATATAATACGACTACACTAGAATATCTATATCGAATATTTCTAAAAACTCGATTCCAACAGTGAGATTCGGCATTCTTCGGAAAAGGGCGAGTTTTTATAAAGACTGCATCGAAAAGTCCGGATGTTGAATACCGAATCGAAACAGCGGAAGTCGGAATGCCTAGTCTCTAGACTCTAGACTAGTCTAGAGTCAGTCTAGACTCTAGGCACTCTCTAGGCTAGGCCTAATGGACGCGGGTGTTGGGAAATTGCGAGACGCGAAATGGCGAGGCGGGAAAATGCGAGAAGGACGCGAAAACGGTCGGTCACGTGACCTTTTGTCTCGCATATTAGAATCTACCACAACCCGATACTTACGTGGTGTTAAAATGCGAAGATTTCTGCGAAAAATTGTTCACAATTAATTACATTGAACATTGTTAAAACTTACGATTTGTAAACTGCCCCCATCTTTTGTGTCGACTTAGAATACCACCTTGTTCAAAACCGTCCGAAATACCACCGACGATAGATCAACTTCTTTCTTTTGTGTGTAACGCCGAGGCCACCTGATGTACCGTCTTTGAAGATCACCGTGCCCGAATCCGATGCCGCCGCAAACATATTTTGTATTGTTGCATAGAAATTTTGTATAGTAAGATTATACCAATTCACAATGACACAGGTCATGTAATGTATAAACATGAGCGGGCTAGATTTTTAAAATTAATGTCGACTGAGACGGGATTTTCCTCTCGCTAACGAGAGTGAGCGATGACAGTAGCACAGCAACGATGTTAGGATTTTTTAATAGATAGATCTAGATATAGATCTATCTATCTTATTAGTATCTATATATATAATAAAATCTAGATAAAAATAACAACATACAACACTCGTGTTAAAGGGTATGGCTACATGCTTGTTTATTTTAAAACAAAAAAAAAATAATTTAAATAAATAAAGATGAAAAAAGCATGAAAAAAACTTTTTTATTGCAAAAAGTGTCTCGCTATTTACCCTTGATTCCGCGGGTATGTCTTGCATTATCTTCTTGCATTTTCCCGCCTCGCGTGTAAGGATTTTTCTCCTGCTGACAATCACACGATATTTAATTGGAACAGTTCTAATGCTTTTTTATGTTGTTTTTTTTACCTTTTCTAATTAAAAATCACATTCATAAAAAAATAAGTAGATCTAGTGTTTTCTTAACGTTTTTGTGTGTTTCGATAGTGTTTATAATAAAATATGCTCAACTGGAGGTGACCGTGAAGCGGGGAATAAAATACGCTAAAATGGAGTTTTACCGCTGAATTCTAGAGGCTCATTAAAATTAATTAATTTAAAAATCATGCACAGCGTAGTTACAATTAATATGGTTATAAAATCCTGTCTGTTTGGTTTTTTTTCTGACTTTACTAAAGATTGGATGTATTTGATGTTTTTAATATTTTCAGTAACTAAATAAAAATTATAAAAAATGCAAATACAATTTGGTTTTCACATGTAATGGTGCATAAACATTAACAATGGGTAAAACTCCATTAGGCCCTATAGCGTATTTTATTCGCAGCTTCATGTTCACCTCCGGTTGAGAGTATTTAATTATAAATACAACCAAAACACACAAAAACTGTAGGAAAACATTAGGATTAGAGCTAGATCTACTTTTTTTTTTTAGTTTTAATTATAAAAGGTAAAAAAAAAAAGCTTTAGGACTTAATTTAGGACAGTTCCAATTAAATTATTTTAGAACTTATTTTACTAGTAGATCCAAATCTAAATCCAGTTGTCTCAAATCTTCTGCAAGTTTTTTTCTGTGTTTCTTGAAAAAACATGAATTACTACGCACGACTTTATTAATAGTATTTAGATCTACTATTGTTACTACTTTTCTATCAATTAAACTTTAATTTAAGTTAAAACATTAATTTAATGCTTTTGACTTTATTTTCGTTTCAACTGTCAATTAAACTATGGTTTACAGTAACGAATGTTAACGAAACTCAACAAACATTACCCGATAATTTTCGACGCTATATCGTGAGATTACCAATATATCAACATAGGCCAGAAATTAACTTTAAACAGCAGTGTTTGCAAGCAAAATTTGCTATATAAAGAGCGGCCATTTGTAAGTTTGAGTGGTTTCCCCTGGATCTCTAACTATAATTTTACCACAAAAAAAAACAAGATGGTTGCTAAAGTAAATGAGCTTGGTTGCATCTGATGAAAACATCGCTAGTCTTTATTTATTACTGAAAAGTTTTAATACGATTGTTTAAAAACACTGTAAAAACATGTACATTAATGAAACTTTTAAACATTTTTGTAACTTTCAAAACATAAATCCTCCTAAAATGTGAAATAATTACTCAAATTTAATGAATCACCATGTTTTCACATAACTAGGCTCGGGCGATTTTACGTTAGATGACCAATAAACTTACCTTATTTTCAAAGAATAATCCCTGTTTTTTTTTCCAGAAAAGAAACAAATCAAGCTTGATATCCATTTATTTCTTTAAGACGATCATCTCAAGAAAATGATTACACAGGAGTGGCGAATTAAGCATATTTTCAAATATCATAACTCGCGCGATTGCCGCACACACAACAGCATGGTAACAGGAGAAAAATCTCGCTGTGGTGTGTCCTCTGCAAGTGTAATCCTAGTACCTATATTAAGTTAATCATGTGCGTACCATGCAACATTGAAAAAAATTCTAAAAATAATTTTTGAATAACTGGAAGTGGAACTTTTTCTACTTTCAATTTTTCAAACGCCTATACTATTTCAGATAGATAAATGAAATTTCACATATAAGTAAAAGATCTAATTCTCTGCCTTCTTTCAAATTTTGAGTAATGTCCGTTGACCGAAAGTAGTAATTTACGCTATTTCTGATTTCTCAAAAAATGCATGTAAATTTATAAAGTACTAATAATATTCCGCACTATTATACACATTTTGTTTGGCGTTCACATGGTGCGCAATTCTTTTTTCTACGCCATTCTATTCTATTTTAAAAAGTTTAAGTAATTAAAAATTGATTAACATTTTTTCTATATCCTGAGTTGCCATCCCCCATAGTGTTATATAAGAATATTCGAGAAAGTTTAGGGGAGATCACTCCCGGTTTACTTTTTTAAGAAACACAGTAATAAAATTTGCAGAAGATTTAAAACAACTAGATCTAGATTCTAGCTACAGCTGGCCCAAGTAAAATAAAATGATTAGAATAATATCTAGATCTACTGAAGTAGTAAGAAGGACTAGAACAATGTTTAGGATCAGCAATAATTAGCACATACACTTAAAAATAATTAGCAATACAAAATAATTAGCAAAACAGTATTTAAAGTGCAACTAAAATCAATTTATCCAAATTTTTAAACATTATATATGGCGCCAAATCAGATATGATTTAAAGTACTTCCAGTGGTTTCCGGAACAGCCTGATAAACTATGCCATAGTTTTACTGTTTTTTACAAACTTTTTTAGCTCCAAATGATGGCAGGCTTGTAGCAAAATATCTATTCATTTATTCTGAATGAGGATTTCATGGTCTGTTATTATGAATTTAACGATTTTAGGTTTTTCATTGATGATTATATTAGAATAATAATACAGTTTAAATCCATTAGACTAAACAGGTTGTAAAACTAATTGCTGTTGCTGGTGCTGTTCCGGTTGTAGGAATAGCTGCTGGTTATAGAATGCGTGCTCTTCAAGCTGCAGAGAGCAATACAACTGAAAGCCGTGTATATAGAATTTGTGACGTGAGTTTTTAGTATTTTTCTTGTTTGTGTATTTATTGATATTGTTTCAACACAATAACCATCAAAAGTCTTATTCTTTGTTTTAATATGTATGTATATATATATATATATATATATATATATATATATATATATATATATATATATATATATATATATATATATATATATATATATATATATATATATATTCCAGTTGCCACTTTACCCAAAGAGTTCTGCTGTAAAAGAGACTAATAATTACTTCAAAGATTCATATCCTCGCAATGCTGTTGAAGAACAAATAAGTGTTGTCAGAAAATCATTCACAGATTTTTGTGAGCAGTACAAGGTGAAATAGAATCTTATAATGTAATAATATTTATATATATAAATTCACTCTCTAATTGTTTTTTTTTTTTTTAAATAATCATTATTAAGGATGAGTACAACATTATAGTTTTAGATTTGTATTTATCTTAAGCATTCACAGAACTAATGCACAGCATGAAAATAATACGAAATGAAATAAAATAATAATAAAAATGAAATAATAAAAATGAAAAGAAGATTAATTTACTTAACTAATCAAGAAATCTTACATATTAAAATATCAATTTTTGTCATATACTTGTATTTAGAAAATGAATTCTTTTTAAAAATTTGAAAACCCTGTATTTTTGAGATTTAGTACAATCAAATGTTTGAAATGTATAAAGCTTTTAGTTGGCTTAACACCTTGTCATTTAATTTCAAAAATTCGAAAATAAATTTCCTTTATTTTCAACTGCTATTCAGGATCTTTTCTATAGTTATCAAGTTATTTCCAATTTTCTGACTTCGGAACTTTATATTTTAATTTTTGCAGATACAAATTTTTGACAACTAGTTTTAATTTTAAGTGTATTAGTAGCCTTATTTGTAAGTAAACTCAAATTGGATTAATTCATTAAACGAAAAGCTTTAAAATATGCTGCTCCCATTTATTTGACTATTATAAAAAGAATTAATGTAGGTCTACATATCAATAATTGTGGAAAAATTTAGTAATAGTGTAATTGATTGTCAGCTAGCATTCTATGTGATATTTTTATTTTATTTTACAGGCAACTTTTGACAGCTTAAAATTGAAAACTGAAATTGGAATTGAACACTCTAAAGGTTATTGTTAACTATTAAACTTTTAAAACTAATTAAAAATATTAACCAATGTTTTAAGGCTAGACACCACAGATAAAAAAACAAATTAGTTAACCTGTAAAAAGTTGCCTTTAACTGGTCACACCTTGTCAAACTAATTTAACTTAACTCTAAATAAAGATAAATAAAATCTGATTATATATATAATCTTTCTCTTCATGGTCTGACCATGCGGGACACAAGCTCAACACACCATATTGCTACCACCCACACCCCCACCAGTCTGGTGAGCTGTTTACAATCGTAGAGCTGGGTCGAATTAGTGACGTCTATTAGGGGCAGATAATTTTGTTTTTAAACTATTTGAAACTAAGGGGAGGTAATAACAAGTTCTGCTTGATCTTGTCATTTTTGTCTGTAAACTGTCATCATGGATAACTACTTTCACAGGGGGCGGGGAGTGGAAAGTGAGTGTGAGGATAATCATTCTTCACGAGCTATTGATAGTGTTTTAAAGCAAAATATTCTCAGTCCCAGCATTGGTACTGTTGAATTCACAAATTATGAATAACTGAAAAATAGGAAATAAAACAACTAAATAGCTGCGCATGCTACGTTGTGGGTCAGCTCATAGATTTATATTTCTCATACCAATCTATACAATTCTACGTTTTTACTTTCTGTACATTTTTACTTTGTGGCATGGAAATTTACGAAATTTTGCCATTTTTTGCCCTTGTAATCGTGAAAAAAATTGTATGTGCAGGTTTCTCTCAATTTTTACAAGGTTTAATTTATTAACTTGCTTCCTCTGTCTACAATCTGTCGGTCATCAGTCTGTGTCATAGATCGAAATGCTGGAGAGAAATTTCAGGCACTTCTAAATTAACCGAATCTTTTCAAAGTCAGTTTTCGTGGGTCAAGACATGAAGACAATGCAATCTGAAATTTAATTTGACTTAATTAGATGCTAAATTAATTTTTTATGAATTAATTAAAATTTTATCCAGATTAGAAGACAATCTTATCTAACACACACTATCATACGCACGTTATTATGTTCATCAGGTGCGAAATAGTTTTTAGTCATGCAACTCTAGTGTAAATAAAAAAATTTAAAGCACTGAAAAAATATTCATAAAAAACATTTTAATAATAAGCTTTTAAAGGAGAAAATAAATGAATTTCTTTAACTATATCTACTATTTAAATAAAGAAAAGCGTGGGTAATACAGTATATAGTGATCCACACTTTTCTTTATAGTTATTTAAATAGTAGAGTATTATATTTAAAGAAAATCATTTATTTTCTCCTTTTAGTGCATTATTACATAAAAGCTTGTTATTAAAAAGATTTTATTTAAAAAGATTGCAGTTAATGGGAACACTATAACTTGAAATCTGTTTCAGTTACTTAGATGAAATTTCATATCTAATTAAAAGATATTATTTATACTTGGATCACTTTCAATATTTGGTTGACTTTCTGATATCTGGAAGTGATACTTATTTCTGGTTTCTAAAAACACCAAAAATATCAAATAACTTGATTACATAGGTATAAGATTTTATTCTCTGTTTTCTTAGTCATTCCCAGTAACGGGAATAGTACTTAACGCTATTTCTATTATCCCATGAAAGGTAATTGTTTCCCTTAGAAGGTACTAATTTTCTGCTCTATTACATGTTATTTGACATGCAATTTTTCTGTGCAATTAGTAAAATAGCCCTGGAAGATTAAGTTATGGGTAGATCACTCCAACTTCATGTTTATTTTGACAGTGTTTATGCATTTATAAATATAAGTTTTCATTTAAAACTGTACAAAAATAAGAGGATGGTGCTATTTAAACATAAATATTTCCTAAAGTATTGCAGTAAACTAACTGTACAATTATTGTTAAATATTAGGTATAATGCTCAATGATTTTGAAAAGTTTTAGTCTTGAATGACAATGGATTTTCGAGCCTTAGGGATCTGAATTTTGTGTCCAAAAGTTTGAGAAAGCATGAAAAGAAGGGTGGAAAAGGTGTTGGATGGTCCATTTTATATAAAACAGTAAAAGACATCTTGCTTTATATGGAAGAACAGTTTTGTTAATAAAATACATGTTGATTTCAATCATAAGTTTTAGATTGATTTTTCTTTGTTAGCAAAAAGTATGTATACAGCAGGTAACAAATTAATGACTTTTAAGTATTACAGAACATTTTAATCAAGTTTAATTCTCAGAACAACTATTTTCAAATCAGATTAAGTACTGTTTGTTTGCGAATCTACTCACAACAGTAGTAGGTCTATAACTACTTAAACTTTTACTTATACTAGTTTGTTGACACTTGATAATAGGCGATCCTGTGGCCCTCTTCCCCTTTGCTTGTTGATGCATGAGAACCTGATGAACCATAAATTACAAATGTTAATACAACCGTGAATAATACATCATGTAGTAGGTAGAGTATTACATTTTCATATATACTGGGCCTATGTAAGTGAATGTTTATCACCAATCCACCATATTTCCTCACACAATAATGTAACAACATTACAAACTGGCCATTGGTTGTCTAGTAAGCAGGGAATGATGGGGATGGGCATTAGGTTGGCCTATAGATTGATGTTCAGTTTATTGTGCCTCTCAAGCAATAAAAGATGTAATGAGGCTCAAAGCTAGCTGCTGTCCACATAGTATTGTGAAAGTTTAACTGGAGGGGATGAGTGTTAAACTAATTTTAGTGGGGGAAAATTTTGTGATATAAAACAAGGGTGTTGTCTAGCCTTAAAACCAATAAAGTAATTAGAATTAAGCCTAGAATAGTAAATGTATGTAAATTCGTAAACTAATGATTAGACTTTTTTGGGATGATAATTCATAAGCTTAAACAACACATCACTTGTATGTTTCTCTAGGAAGCTTAGACTACATCCAAAACAATCCTGGTGAACTTCCTCGTGTAATATTTATAACAGTTGCGGGCATGGGAGGAATTGTTCTAGGCTACAAAGGTGAGTTTTCACACATTTTGTTTGATCAAATTTAGCCTTAAAGTTCAAAGAAATATATTAACCAAGGGTGTATGCAGGGGGAAGCAGCTCACCTAGGACCATTCTCAGAATTATGGTACTATTTTTAGAAGAAGTTCCAACTACTAAACAAGTGTATTTTACAAAAACTACAAACTTTAAACTATATTTCTTTGGCCAATTTTATGTTATGCAAATAACAAATTTTATGAGACTCACTTATAGATATTCAGTTGAACATCATTTGAGCCAGGCACCTCTACTTGAAGTCTCTTACATATTTTAGCGACTAATGCTTTTTATTAAAAGAAATCAAGTTTGTATGATTATTGTATATATTTTCAGGGAATTTAAAAGGTTTTTTTATCTTTGTTTTGTTAATGATTAAAATATTAATTTTACATAAAAAAGGCTGGTGTTGAATTAGAAAGTGTAACATTTAGCATATAATATATACATACACATATAAATACATATATATACATACACATTTATACACACACCGTAACATATAAAGGTGTATATCTATGTTGATATAGATGTGTGTATAAAGATTTCAGGGCTCAGCTCTCCACATGTGGTGGGCAAACAGTCCTCTTTACTTGAAAAATGTATGGTATTTTTGTTTCTGTGTGTAATGGCTAAGGGGGAAATTATCTTGAAAAGTTGTTTTTTTTTCTTTTGTTGTTTTTTCATTGGTGGTTGTTTTACTATGTGTCCACAAAATTTTAGGGCCTTTATTATACCACTACTCCAAAACAATAAATTAGATACATTTTTAGCATATTAGTAAGTTTAATGCTTTAGCAACACATTGTCATTTTTCTCTCATTTGAGAGGGCAACAAGTTTTAATGTCATGGCATTAAGGGTTTAAACTGAGGTTTTTCCCATCAACATACATTGCAGTAAATCAACAAAGAAGAAAATATAATGAAAACTCAAAAAAAAAAATTAATTGTTCAATTATTCTATAAATCCTGAACTGAAACTTCATTGGAATAGAAATTTTAAAAAACTTCAAATATTTTTAAACTATTACAACATAAAACTTAAGTATTCACTTTTGAAAATACAGAGTATATAAAGTAAATATCAAGATGGCAGGGCACTTTAAGGAATTCATGGGAATGACATTTAAACTTCATTTAAAACCAGGTGGAGTTGTAAAGAAATTAATCTATGCCAGCATTGGGGCTTTTTCAAGTGCTGCACTCTGCTACCCTAAGAAAAGTGTAGATTTGACTCACCAAGCTACTGACCTTCTTAAAGCCAGTTGGAAAGAATTCATTGGAAGTAATTCTGTTCGGAATCTGTCGTCACCTACTAAAGGAGGTATTGATATGCATTTGTTTTTTTCTCCTTTCCACATCTGCTTTTGATAGCTGAAATATTTTGACAGTAGTTTAATGAACAAAGCTTTTCAACTCAGGATTAACTTAAAATACACAAAATGTGTCTTGTTAAATAATTATCTTACAATTTGGCCCATCTCTTGTAGACTAATTACATTATTTACAGACACAGCTAGTGTACACTAACACTTTATATAAGAAAATTGCAGAAATGATGCACAAAGTACTGTTATCCAGGGTACACCCATTACTTATCAGTTAATGATGAATTATGAAAATTTCAAGGGAGAACTGTAAGATTGTTTAATCAAATCAAATTGTCTTAAATTTTTACGTTCTCGTATATACGAAGTATAGAGAAAGTCTTGTAATCGTGCAAAAAAAAAATCGAGATTTTTGCTAATCTCGAGGTTTTACAGCTCCCTGAGTGGGAAAAACATAGTTTTGCAATGTTGTCCGTATGTCTGTGTGTGTGTGTGTCTGTAAACATGATAACTTGAGTACCGTTACAGCTAGGTTGGCTAATAACCGGAAGTGGAACTTTTTCAACTTTGAATTTTTCAAAAGCCTATAACTTCAGTACTATTTAAGATAGATAAATAAAATTTCACATGTAAGTAAAAGATCTAATTCTCTTCCTTCTTTCAAATTTTGAGTAATTTCTTTTGACCGGAAGTAGTAATTTTCGCTATTTCCAATTTCTTTAAAAAAAACGTGAATTTATAAAGTACTAATAATATTCCGCACTATTATGCACGTTTTATTTGGCGTTCACTTGGTTTGCAATTCTTTTTTCTACAAGATTTTATTCTATTTTAAAAAGTTTAAGTATATAAAATGGATTAAAAATCATGTCTATATCCCAAGTTGCCATCCCCTGTTGTTTCATATAAGAATATTCGAGAAAGTTTAGGGGAGATCACTCCTGGTTTATTTTTAAAAATGGAACTAAATGCATTTACCTATCTGTCGCCAATTGTGATAATAGATAGTAATGTCCTCTGTAGTTCTCAAAAGAATTCAATTACTTGATGAATTTTATTATACAAATTCTACCTTTAAATTTTAAAACAAAAGTAAAGAATATCTTAAACAACCCTACGTGGAACAATCATGGATTACAGGATATTTAAATACTAGCACCATAATGCATTGGTAACAAAGGATCAATTTGTCTAGGGACACTACTAATTGTTCACTGATACACTATCATGTTAAGGTAGGAGTGTTTTGTTTAATGAAAATAAAAATATTAGGCTTAAATGGCAAAACATACAAGAGAATAATATTCAATTTCAACTTCTGTTACTTCAGAAATATAAATTTTGTTACATCCTGATATTACACGTCGTGCTTGATCATAACTTATCTTTTAAAAATCGTAACTATGCCAAAATTGGATTCAGCTAACAAAATTTGAAAACATCTCTCCATAACTTTTTTAATAGGCCTACTGTTGTAACATAATGCTGCTTATCTGGATCTAATGGAAGGCACATGATTATAATAATAGATATGTCACTTTATATTATTTACAGATCTGTCAAAGTAAGCTAGCCTGATGCAATATACTTACTGGTTGTATTTTATAGGCTAAGTAAGATCAATCAAAAACACATTTATTATTTTAGGGAGAGCTCACGTTAGATAAACATTTTTTGACATGAAGTGATGACAGATTTGCACTGTAGAGCTAGGGCGTTTATGTTTGAATAATGGACAACCTTATATTTTCATGTGAGAAAAATCACATACTTTTGTATTTGTAAAATTATAGAAAAAAAGCTTATTGTTTAGACATTCTACATTCATTTAGATTGTACGAAACAAATAAAAATTGATAGGAAAATTATTTTTGCTGCTGTTGATAACAGAAAATGTTCCGCTCCTTAATTCACTACTGTCAGTGAGTTATGGCCGTACAACTAAATTTTCTATACTCTTAAGATAAACCTTGCCATATCTTCTGTAGCTACCATATTTTCTATACTCTTAAGATAAACCTTGCCATATCTTCTGTAGCTACCACCTGCCGTCTAGTTTCAGTTTTAATTCGGCAAATAATAGCAATTATACTAACCTACCTCTCTCTTAAAATGACTAATATTCAAAGCATACGATACTCTGCCTTTTAAAAATGTAGTGATTTCAAATGGTGCAAATAGCCTGATCAGTAGGTCTATACATTTTTCTATTATGTTAGAATTAAAAGTGCCACTTGTAAGCTATTAGATGGATCACTCATACACTCACATGTTTTTCTGGCCTGTTTAGTGAAGAATCAGTGTTTTAGTTCCTGGAACTAGTTGATCAATTGAATTGTGTGCCAGAAAAAAGTATAATATTTTAGGGAGCTTGCTTTAAGTAACAGTTTCTGAGCAGAAACCAATGACAGCTGATGTTAACATTAGAGGGGAGGAGCTTTTTGAAGTTTTTCATGGGTTAAATAAAATCGCTTATCATTTTAACACAATTTAAAGACAATCACAAATTTTTCTGCCTCGATCTGAATGATAGTTATATTATAGTTTTTAGAGCTCTACCTTTCCGGGTCATGATCAGACATCTAGAATATTTGTTGAATGTAAATAAAACAAATAAAAAACTAATTAAAAATAAGCTTTCAAATGCACTGAAAATAAAACAAATAACTTTAATTCAGCTTTAGGGAATATGACTAATGCATTGAAATATTTGAGTTCATAGATAACTATATTCAGATAAACACCTCTAATGCAGCAAATTATTGTTCTGCATCTTTTATCATATTAAAACTGACATTTGATAGCATGGCCAAATAATTATTACCACCTTAATAGTTAGGGGGAAAAAACAAAGAAGTAGGAAAACAAAAAGTCATGAACTCAATTCATTTAGTTAGAGTGACCTTGCCTACCTTTCAAGATAGCCTACTGATACTCAAATTTAGGTGGTTCACTCCAAGCCCTGAGGGTTAGGGTTGTACTGCTAACACTGCACTGCCAGATAATAATTTCTTTAAGAAGTCATGACACAAGTAGAGATTTATTAAGACAAACTGTATGACTTGAATCACCTGCCGAATTCTAATGCATAAATAATTCTCACTTTCTAATGACAATACATTGAATGTCTTCAATATTTTGTTTTTGTTGGCACAAACAATAAATTTGCTGTTATGCAAGCCAAACATATATTTTTTTTAATATTTAAAAATTATGTCAATTTTTTGTGAAATTACTTTGAGCATCTTCTCAAAGTTAAAGTAGAACTGGTATTTGTTTTACACTTTTCATATTGAAAATGCATTCAGCAATTCCATCTGTTATAATATGTCAATGTTGCTTGTAGGCTATCTGCCTAATATTTAGTATTACAGTATCAGTTAAGAGTTCATAATTTTTTACCTACAGGACTTGAGAAAGAGCAGAGTGAAACAGTTGTAAGTTTAAAATATAATTTATTTTTTTCAATATTGATTATTAACTTGTTTTCCAATCCTTTATTGTCTTAGGGCTGTATAGCATTGTTTAAAATAATTTGTTTAATTTATTCTGAGCTAATCATTAACTGTATAGTAAATCTTTAGGTGCAAGTCTATTCACAGCAGTAATTGTACAATATAAAAAAATAATAAATTGTCATTGTGAATTATTATAGCAATAAATTAAATTCAAGTATTCATAATATAAAATGAAATTTGTTTAGTTAATGTTCATCAGTAAAAATTAATTGCTTGTTTCTCAGCCTGAAAAAGATCCTAATTCTGAATTAACACCCACATTCCTGGTGCCATCTTATGATTCAAATCAAAACAAGGAAGACATCAAACCTTCATACTTGGGAGTGTCAACAGTGGAGAAGAAAAAGTTTTCTGATGTTAAAAAACTTAAAGGTGATCCAGGCCAATCCAACCCGGTGGATAAAGATTTATATAGCACCCGCTCTTCATAATTTATTTTAGGATTTAAAATTAAAGAATGTGCCACACTCAATTGATTGCATCATATTTTTTATTTTGATTTTCCTAACCTTCATTGTTTTAAAAATTGTTAAAAAGCTGTACTGGTAAGCTTTTTAAATGCTTAGAATTTAAATCATACAATCTTATTCTTTATTATTGAACTTCGTTACTTTAAACATCAAAAGAAATATGTTTGTTTTATTTTTGTAATCAACATAGTTAATGTTTATCAAAATGCCGGTTATTAAAATATAAAAAGGAATATCTACAATATGCTGGGGGGGAATATATTTGTAATAAATATAACTAGGCTATGGTAAATTATTCTTTTATTTGAATTTTATTCCTGAATCAAGCTAAATCTAAAGTCATTAGGTATTTTTTTTAATATTGCAAAGTAAATTTTGTGTACCCTTTTTCATTTCCTTCATTGTCTTTTAAATATGAATTGATTTGTAAGTAGGGAGGGTGTACTGCACTACCAGTATGTTAGGATGTCCATGTGGACCAGATGTGCCCCCCCCCCCCCCCCCTTATGTGGACATCATAAATAGTGACCCATTATACACATTGTGTGGGGTAAATTTTATGTGCCACAGTAGTGAGTGCTGAAAAGCTAATAACAGCAACAGCACAATATCGGCTAGTAATAAAGTAATATTTACACATTTAAATTGTCAAATCACTCAACCTCATCAAACATTAACTTTGGTCTGTAGTGTGTTTGTGTGTCTCTCCCTCCCCCTCCCAAATAAATTAGTATTGTCAGAAGTGAAATGATGGCTTTGACTTTGATCCATCCAGTTGTCTTTACAGTCTAAAAGAAAAACATTCACTGATATTAAAAAATCATACGTTTTATTTTATTTGTGACAAAAAAGGGTATATAGCATTTTAATTCTCACTAACAGAATTAGAAGTTACATCATAATTATGACAAATCATTCAACTTATTGTTTTTTTGTAAAGGACAATAAATAAAAACCAACCCCATGTAAAGAAATAAGTTTGGTCTCTTTCCTCTCTCTTCCCCCCCCCCCCCCCATCAAACTAAACAAGTTAAAATTTAAAAAATGCCAACCCCCTTAAGTAGTGCATATTGAGCCAATCAATGGCATTAGCATAATTTTAAGAAAAGATATTTTTTAAAAACATTTAATTCAAGTTTTAATTTACCTTGCTAAAATAATATTTAAAATCTACAAGTATACATAAAAATTCATGTTAAAATTAAAATAGTACAAGTATAAACATTCACAATTCATAGATATTTTGAAATTTCATTTATATCTTGCTGGATTTCTTCTTTTCTGGAAAGCTTTGCTTCCTGCAAAAAAAAAGTTTTATAATAATAGCGGGATTTTTTTTTAACTAAAAAATCAAACAAAAAGCATTAGTAATAATCTGTTTTCGAATTCAATAGACATCAATGGCATTCTACAAAGCCGTTACACTTGAAACAAATTGATTATGAATGCATTACATTTAAAATAAAAGATGCAGTATTTTCTCAATTCTGTATGCTGATGTATTGAACTGCAAGTGTGCACTACACTTTGCAAAAAATTGAGTGACATTACAATCTGACACAATTCTTATATTTCCACTGAAACAGTGTTTCTATTTTACAAGTAATGTTTTGTTTTGTTTTAAATTGGCTGCAACAAATTCATGTCATTCTGATAACTATAAATAGCTTTAGCATTTTCAATCAAGAAAGGAAAAATATTTCCCAGAAGTTCAATTAAATACAATCTATCTATTTTTACAAATGTAACTACTTTTATAAAACACTTGTATGACCTTTGACAATATGGCTCTTAGTATATTGACTTCAGACAAAAAACAACCCTGATAGAAAAAGTAAAGTTGATATTGACAATAAACTCCCGGGGGGGGGGGGGGGGGGGTTAGACTTATGTGGCAATGAGGGGTGTGACAGTTTACATTTGAATAACTGTAATGAGGGATCCCCTTTGCTCAAGTTACTGTGTTACTGGAAGTCTTCTGGTTAAAAACACAAATTTATTAAAGTTTATTCCTACACACAAGTATAAAAGATCATAATACACAACATGCTAAATAAATCTTCTGCAATATATATCTTTATAAATCTTAATGAACATATTTATCTCCAACAAAACTATTCTTGACTACTGCTACTACTCCTCACTTTTCCTACCTGACAACAGGAAATGGACTGCTCCTACCAATTGTGATTGATTGAGCTGTATCCCACAGCCACAACATTATAAAAATAAGGGTATATTGACCTAGACTGTTTTAGCTAACAAGGTGGCAATGGTTGTGCTAGTGTCATGATCATCACAGTAGGAAAAGTACGAACTTTTGAAACAATATTTCAGCAATTATTTTGCTCTTTTAAAAGAATTCTATTATAAATTGTAATATGAAATTATTAATGAACCAGCTCTTGGCCCAGCTTTGTTAATATTATCAGCATCACATGGCAATGAGAAATGTTTGGGGTCATTCATAAAACAATTTTTTTTTCTCCCTCATGACTTCACAGAGCCATACCTACCCCCCCCCCCCCCCCACTCCAAATAATGTCACACATTAGCATAGAACTCCCCTCAAAATTGAAGCTTCTGTTTTATAATACATCAATATCTTTTATAGTTATTTACTGAGCACAGTCATCATTTTGTATATTACAGTTAACAAAAACAATCTTTAATAAACACAACAGAAAAATTTCTAACATTACTATTTTTTAAAAAAAAAAAGCCAAAGTGTGCTGTCACACTTTCTAAACCCCCTCTCACTCGTCACTAAATTCTGAAACCCTACCTCCCCTAGGAGTTAGACTTAGTTTATGGAAGACCCTATTTTTTTTTTTAAATCAAATCTTTTGGAGTTAAACTATCATGGGCTTTTTTAAAGAAAGCTTTTTTGTCATGTAAAACAATTATCAACTGTACATTAGTATAAAAAGGGCAGATTGAACAGCAAATGGCATCAGAAAAGATCACCAGTTATAGTCAAAATTGTATAAACCATTGCCTGTTAGTGTGACCAGTGAAGAAATAGATTGATCTAAAAGCAATGGGTGTCAAGACTTAATTGTGGAAATGAGTAAGTGAGTAACATTAAAATGGTAAGGCTAATTTTAGCTAGTCTAATTAAGGATAGGTATCACCCCAATTTATATGACAAAATACATTTTTTGTTTTCAGCATATGAACATAAACAATGAACATAAACATTTGCCTTTTTCGAAATGCTAATGAGGTATAATTTTTTAAACATTTATGGTAATGCTTAAAATTAAATGACTAGAACATTTTTTTAAATTAATTTTCCTAATTCAATAGTTTTTTTTCTATGATAAAAAAGTTTTAACTAATATTTTTTTCGTTTAAAAACATGCTTTTTTTTGTTGAATAAAACATCTTCCTTGTGGATATAATATTTCACTTAATCATAAGTATAGGTATTATATTAACTTCATATATTCATAAACAAGAAATTTAAATATTGGGGTGATACTTATTTGTAAGTTAT